TCAGCTCTGGAATAAAAGAAAGATCACAGAAAAATCACCTTAAAAAGGCTAAATGTAGAACTGGCCATTTCTCCAGCCAGCTTAAGTAACAACTGTCAGGCATCGGTCACTCCTTACCTGGAACAGGTAGATCTGGTTCCGGGGCTGAGAGATTATCAGCCAACATGCTGATAAATACCATTAGGATCTAAGCTTAATAACAGCATTTATATGAGTCTATAATTTTAGAGACACAATTCAAAGATGATTAAGGTTTAAGCTGGAATTTGATGAAGATAGGCTAACCAGTGTGCTAACTGCTATCAAACTTTCTAAGGCTGATTTAAACTTGAAAACATCCTTTCTTTAGTTATGTCAAAGAAATGTATTTCGCCAAAGTAATTTTGTTGTAGCTAAAGCTAAGTTGAAAAGAGTTTGGAGCAATCCACATCTGAAAACTAATGTATTAACCTGCATGACTGAATGCATACCTCAGGATACTGAACATGCATTAGGCCAGACATTTGCTTGAACAGGCTCTAGCATGAGGTGAAGCCTGGAGCGGATCATGTATGACACAATGCATGATCCTGAGCACACATGTTTGTAACAGGCCTAGCAAACCTCAGGAACATTAAATGCTACGTTTCAAACTGAGTTGCAATCACATATTTTTGTTACATTAGCCTTTGCATAAAATTAATGTTATTCTTGTAAATGTTACTTTGAAAAATAAAGTTATTTTATGTCCGATCAGTTATCACAAAATCCATGCCACCTCACCTAATGAATTATAAATGCAGGAGATTGCACAGAGCTGTAATTATATAAAGAAATATTTTTGTTATATCTTTTTGCACTGCTTTATTCATTTGCATACATTCCCCTAAATCTGCTGAGTGAGACAAATGTTAGCATAAAGCACAAAATAAATACAAGTTTATTCTTCTTACTCAGCAGTGCAACAATTGCACCTATCTTAGATAATTGTTTTCCATGCATTGCCCGCTGCAGTGCCCTTCAGTCCACTGGTGGTTTTTGCCTACAGACTCCTCAATCAAATGTGATCTTGATAAGAGCCGCTTCCTGCAAGGTGTTCCTCGTTCATGGAATAAGCATCCTTTTCTTTTTAAGGTGCCAGACTGAAAGTCTCTAACACAAAACATTTGTTTACCAGGTCTTTTCTCAATTTTAGCTCTTATTTCCATGTTCATCAATGTATTTACATATGTTCAATATGCTGAAACACTGGAAAGTTTACGTTTAGGAAATAGCCTCATAGAGACCAATAAACCTAAAGCAGGAATGAGGATCTAATCAGATCATTCAAATCCCTACAAGAGTTTTGACGAGCGGGTCTGGGATTTTGTGAAGCTGTCTAAAGTTCTCTTTTCAGAGAAAATATATTTAGCAAATTTAATTGGCTTAATTTCAGCCTGGCAACTTGGAAAGGATACTAAGGCCAAAACAGAGATAAGTGCTGGATATAAAGGAAGCTTCCGATATGTGGTTCATTTAGCATAGAAGTAATATGGTTACCCACTATCTGTTGCATTACTGGACGTATAGACACAGCCGCCTTCATGAAGTTGAACAAAAATACAGTTGCTCACATGTGTACATCATGTTTTGAGTTTTATGATATAGATCTTCATATATTTGTACACATTTTTTGTAGTTCTTTCGAAGGCTGTAGTCCCGGTTCTGAATCCTGCTCAAGGCTGATCTCTGTCCAAAGATCCTTTTTCTACCTGCAGTAGCATTTTTGCACAGCAAATTGGCTGTGCAAAATGTGAAGGAAAAGGACGTAGGTGCTGCAATTTCCTTAATTCAGAATCAGCCACTGCCAGAATCTGTGGTGGAATCATAGATGGACACTGCAAATTGTTTAAGGTCTAGTGAGGAGTCCCCAGTTTGATTACGTCATTTTTTTGTCTTGATCCCCAATCAGAGGAAAGCAGTCGACCACTAGGGGTCTGTTTCACAAAGCAGGTTTACTGAAAACTCTAAGTTTTCTAAACCTGAAATATGGGAAACTGAGTTTTCTGTTTCACAAAGAATGAAACAGAAGTTAGTTTAGTCACAATAGTAACATAAAATACATCAAACTGAAAAACCCCATGAGAAGATGAGGTTCCATCTATTATGTTTTTATGCTTCATCTTCACCTGCTGCATTCAAGAAACAATCCCATATTATTACAGTAACAAGCCATTTTTATATGTACTATTTTGATCAAATATGTATTTCTGATATCTGAAAAAAAGTTCCCAACCTTAGGCTAGATTCATTTGGAGCTGCGGATTAGAATAAGAGTTTAACCCTGCTTAGTCAAACGGACCATGGAACCTTGAGCCCCTCCATGTGTCAACAAAAAACATGAATACCCAAACTACAAATACCTGCTTTAATAATATTAGCTTCAAGAATATGAGATAACCACAGTAATGCAGAAAAACTGCCTGGTGTTATTAAAGCGTTTTGGCTACCTTATCCCCTCAGCTGAGTCAGGTTACCTTCAGGCACCACTACATAGGTCCAATAAACGCTACAATCACGTGTAAAGTGCAAACACTGCATAGTGTACAGTATTTACACTGCATTAAACATGGTCAACACAATACACAAGTGTTTTGAAACGGTTATAGTTGGAAAACCACAATCAAAAACAAAATGAACAAATAAGTAATTTGTGAAAACCTCACATCTTTTATTTAAATCTAATCTTTGTGTGACTGAACTCCACTAATGGGAAATATCTGTATTATTTTATACCGAAAAAGGGAACTAAAATGTCACTTATGAAATATTTGTAACAGGCTTCTTAAAACTGGTGCTTATGAGGGCAGCACAGAAACAAGAGCTTTCAGCCAAATTTTCAGAGAGGTGACAAACAACTTTTAGAGATCAGATTAAATGTCTAAGACAAACTTTGCATCAGTTTGAACCTTTTACATCAGTAAACAAGTACTGAAAAGTAATTAGAGGAAATGAGCTTCATAAGGTTATCCAAGCAACAGCTGGAGATTGTTAATCAACTGAATAGTTTAGTCGCAGAATATTAAGTTGCCCGGCCCTACTTCAGGGTGGCCGGCTGCTGGCGGAGCCCTCGGACTCGTCCCCGCGGCTCCGGCATGGCGGTGGCTGGGTGGCTTCTTCGGGGCTGTCTCTCCTCCTCCCTTGGTGGGGGTCTGATTTCCGGGGCTGGCCCCTCCTTGGTGCTGTCGCTCTTGGGGTCCCTTTGGGCGCCTGGGGCTTTCGGTCTCCCGGCACTGGACTCGGTGGCTCCAGGTACTCAGAGATTCACTTCCATAAAGAAACCCCACATTCATTTCTTCAGGTAACACAGAGTACACGTCAGACTTAATATTACTTTAGCGATAGTTTCAGGGTGTTGATTTATTGTATTTCTCGTACCATGTCTTTTGGTTGTGCTGTTCTTTTTTTCATCTCGTTACAGGTGATGAAGCAGACTGAAAATGTTTTGTCATTGACTCCCATCTCTTTCATTTCTCTTTATTTTTTTCTTTTCTTCCATTTTTCTGCTCTATTTACATTGCAGTGTCCATATAAACTGTAAAACTCCCTGCACAATTATAATAAAGCAATTTATATGCATGAAACAAGTGGAGCAATTTGGCAATTGCCATACAGCTACACTTGTGAAAGTAAAATCTGTTGGGCTATTTTTGGCATCAAGACAATTATTCTTATTGCCACATTGCCAGACAGGACACCTTTAAAGCTACAGTGTGTAATTTTTAGCGACATCTAATGTCCAGACTGCAGACCGCAGCAACATGAACATCTCCCCCCCACCAGTACGGCGAGCGTTACGGGACAAAATGTCTTCCACGACGTCCGCATCACCTACCTTCTCAAGTGATGGTTTGTTTACATAGATAATTTTACAGATAATATTCTTAGGCATAATACTGCCATCTATTGTTCAGTACCGTCTCAGTTCATCTCTCTCAACTTGCCGTAGTTACTTTCGAGCGTAATGGGCGATCTCGCAATCGCTAGTTTGTTGGCTCTGCGCTGCCGTAGCACAAAGATGTCTGCCTCCATGGCTGCGAGACCCTAAGGCAACGCAAATATTAAGGTTAAGAGGCTGAGCTCGTAGATGATAAATAACAGTTATGTATAATATATTAAATTTCTGACTGCATATCCCTGTAATTATTACACACTGTAGCTTTAAAAAAAAAAAAGAATTTTTTTCAGTAAAAAGTTATGAGGCCATTTAAACACTTGGCCCTGGTCAAACATCAGTCCATTTAAAGAAGGGGTGTTCAAGTCTGGTCCTTAACAGAAACTATCCGGCAACTTTTTGATTCAACCCATTTTTAACACCGGAATCAAATTATTCAGCCTTTAGATGTATGTGTGTTAGAGAAAATATGTCCCTAACAGTTGCAGGATGTAGCTCTCGAGTACTGGACTTGAACAACCCTGATTTAAAAGAACTGCATGAGGGCAGATTTCTCTACTTAATCAGACATCCTCAAATATTATGGCCCTGAAATATTGGCTTCTGTCAGGCGACCAGTATTGCAATAAAATATACAATGCAGCAAAAGCTGTCATTTATACTTATTAGAATATTTATCTCGATTCAGTGATAACAATTTTTGGAGAATAAGATGTTAAACACTTTCCCCCTGAAAAAACACTAAAAAAACAAACAAAGCTCTTATATATAGAAGGGCTGGGCTGAAGGCCCGTAGTGCATAGTGTTATGTGAACAAGTTCCACATGTTTTAGAAGTGGAAAAAAGCCAGACTCAAAGCAGGTGGTTGGAAAAGGAGTTTCAGTACTCTGTCAGCCAAAGTATGGTGGTCCTCTATTAGATTGAGGAAACAAATCTCCTGGGTTTGTCATTTTATTTATATTTCATAATGATCAGAAAATGTAACTCTAAAACTAGATTCTACTTGTTCATACTTTTATTTTCCATACAACTTTCCCATTCCCGCTGTGCCCTCCACTTTGAAAGACACTGCTATAAAATCAAACACTTTGCTTTGATAAGACATTTATTGAATAAATATTTCATAACAAATCAATAGTTGTTTCAATTGCAGTTTCACTTAAATGTTTGTAGGGGGTTTGTCACATCAACAGAGGACTCCAACTCCTGCAAAAGATAAAAAGAAACAAGGCTAATTTCAGAAATTGCTTAAAGGAAAACCTTTAGGAATGCAGCAGAATCAGTCAGGATATGCCATGCATTAGTTTTACCTCTGAGTCAGATTCTTGTTCGCCAGAAAGAGCCATGTTGGCCATTAGCTTCTCTTTATCTGAAGATCTGCTTCTGAAGTACTCCCATCCTCTCCTGTAAAACAAACAAAGTCAGAATCTTTGAAATGTAACAAAATAATTTAACATGGGGCTTTGAATAAAATTGTACGATAAAAAAATGACACTATAAAGTGGCGTTACTGTGACTGATTGCAAATGCTGAACAGATGCCATCCATACATTACCTTTTGGTGAAGACAAATGCACCAAATACTACCGCAGAGACCAGACAGAAGGACACCAGAATGACTGCCGGGTGGCTCTCTCTTTTTGTATCCTGACAGAATTCTCCCTTATAACCCGGCAGACAATGGCAGCGAGTGGCTTCCCCCTTTGTGATGCAGCTGCCATGGCCATTGCAGCGCTGGAGATCACACGATGCCAAGTCTTTATTAGGCAGAACAGAGTTCTTCTGCGTGTCGGGTTGGTGAGAGGAAGACTGCAGAGATTGGCCACCACCACCTTTGGTCCCTGATGAGGCCAAGTCAGAACCTGGACCTAAAGGTACATGTGTGAATCAAGTAAACTGGTTAATGAAAATATGAATCTAAAAGCAAATTGTACAAAGTAGTGGTTAGCCATGCATTTATAGTCCAAACTGACTTGGGAGGTTTATTTAACTGCATCTTCCCTTAAATCTGCACTGTAATTTTCACAGTCAAGAGTTTGATATTCCCATTTAAAAATAAAAATGCTTCTGTTCACCACTGCATTCTTCACCGATGTAAAGTTGTAGAGGACAGAGAGCTTGCTCAAACTAGAGTGAAAACATCTATCCTAATTCTGCCAGAATTTGGTTTTGTCTTAGGCCATTTGCCAATGTGACCAATAAAGCATAGGCTTGTCTGACTGGTTTTTAAAATCTCTGGATAGTGCTGATGTTTAAGTCTTTAGTGCATGTCTCAAACTGCTTTAAGCTATTCAGCATTAAGATCAATTTAGTGATTTTTGTACAAAGGGCTACTTTGCATAGGGTCATTTTATCAGCACGATCTTCTCTTGATGGCCCTTAATGTCAAATAGTCATCTTAAAAGTTTCATTTTACCCAAGTTTATTGGTTAAAAGGACTTTCTTCCCTTACAAACATGAAGTTTTAGGTCATTTTGGTCAAAAACTCACAGTTCCGTTCATCAGACTGGTCTGGACAATCAATGCTCCCATCACAGAACTTGTTGCTCTTAATGCATTTGCTGCCATCAAGGCAGGATTCCTTTCCATTGGGGCAGGAAGGAAGAGGGACGCAGGAAGTGTCGTTGACAACATAGAAGCCCCGTGCACACTTACAAGTCCGTCCTCCTGGATAGGGCAGGCAGAGGTGGACACATCCACCGTTCCCATTTGAGCAAAGGTTGTTTCCTGGAGGAAATGGACATTGTAGGGTTTTATTTACAGTGAGGCTGCAGTTAAAGGTGTATCACACAAGTCTTTGTCAATTGTGTACAAATATTTGTTGAAGCATGGGTGTCAGCTTTCATGCTTCCACAGCCTGGCCTTTCCAACTTTTAGATTTGCAGGCCTTTGAGCGGTTATCAGAAAACTACAACTTTTGATAAATAAAGCTTAAACATAAACATACAGCTTACAAGCCTGCATTATAGACAAGAGTCAGTACTGTTTGAGCATTTGGTTTGTTATGTTTTCACCACCTTTCACTAACTAGTGCAAAAAGACAGTTCTCCCAGTTCAAGCCCCTAGAGGTATCACATCACTTCATCTATTCAGTATAAACTGAAGCCACATAAGCCTTTTCACCCCAGTCGCAGTGTCCAGTAACACACCCAATGTTCAGTGCTATTCAGAAATTCTGTGAAAACCTGAGCATGCAGCTGGTATAAATTCCCATGTTGTGACTAACAGACTGGTCCTGCTGCTTGTTCTACATAGATCAATGCTAAAAATATGCAGCAGCATTGCTTGTTGGCATTACAAAGCTAGGAAAATTATGCTGTCACTTCTATGACAAAATGACAATTTGACAAGAGCAAAAGCAAACAGATTCATAGGGCAGCACAGTATGTGGAGAAGCTGTTGTAATAAGCCCAAGCTTTTACTACAGCACATCCATCCCCCCCCATCTCCTGAAGTTTTAGCAGACAATCAATTCTATATTAAATATGCACAAAGGCAGTATGAGCCTTTGTTTTATTGGCATGCAGAGCTTAATAGGCATATAAAACAACCTAAACTTAAAATTGGTCAAACATACGATCCTCTTCCAGTCATTTGGTACAAATAAACAAATTTGCCCTTTGCTTTCCAGTGAACACCCCTTCAGATAATCAGGCTTCATCCGTTTCTTTATTAGTTCCAAGGCTCGTCTAAAGCCCCAAGCCATTTCACTAATGCATTCTTCTAGGGAACTTTGGCTTAGCACTGCCTGCCGAGATAAACAGCAGCCCTCTGGCCATTTTGGATGTTTGTCATAAGTAGATCTGATATGTTTTATTGTTCCATTGTGCACTTTGTGATTAAATTGTCATTTTTAATTGAATGACTAATTTGGCTTTGTAAAAAAAAAAAAAAAAAAAAACAAAAGTCAAGCTTTTTGGTGTGCAAATTTCCAAAGTCTAACACTGAAAATGAAAACGTTGATATTAAGGCAAAAAAAAAAGTATGACGCTCCCATTTCATGTCAAAGCTGCCACCCTCAATCCATGGTTCCAGTCACCGTTCAGTTATAGTGGAAGCTCTTTTGGCATCAGGGCTTAACTGAAGGCTCCTTCAGGGGCCTTTAGCTTTTTCAGTACTCATTGTCATCTAACTGCAATAAACTTATGGAAGGCCCAGTTTCTGCTGTTCAACAACAAGGGTGTTTTATCCTTACCCTTCTTAGATGTAAATAACCCGTCAAGAGATCTAGTAACTTTAGTTTTAAATTAAGCTAATTGGTGACTTGTATTTTAGGACATGAACAAGAGCTCTCCTTAGTAATTAGCCATCTTAAAGTTTTAGGCTACCATCTTGTTTGATATAGCACAAAATGAAGCCATTTCCTGTTCGCCCCCGTCTCCCCAAGAGATCGATGCAAGCGTTTCTGCAGAACATGGTCTTAGCTGCACAAACAGAATTTATAAAACAAATTTGGCAACAGCCACTTATTGCAGGTCGACATAGCGAGAGCCTGATATTAACCTAAACCTACTTGATCATTTATTGGTTTATACAGCTAGTGATGATCCTTTTATGATGCAATAATTAAGTTTATATTATATACATAAACCAAGGCTCCACTTGTAGTAAATAAACAGAAGGGTGATCTGTTTAATATCCTCAGTCCACATCTTAAATAGTCAAATTCCTAATTTGACTTTTGATGTTAGTGATTAAAATTCCTACATATGGATGGAAAATATATTTTAATTTTGGTGTGGGATAGCTACATGTGCAAAATTAAATTAGAATTTTGCTGCAGCTAAGGCTCTTTGATCTCCAGTGTATTAATTTTGCCTCTAGAGTCAAGCTCTAATGCTCTGATAAGGTCTAGAAAGCTGCAGGCAAAAGTCAATGCAGTTTAAAACTTGTTAAAATTAATTTTATGATATTCAAAGTGATCAGCAGATACATCAGATTCTGATGTAGGGAAAAACAATAAGGTGGCAATTTTCTGTTTGTTTAATCGTTTTATACTAAAGTGTTAAAGCATCTCATTCAATTAGTCATTTTATAACCGATTAGACATTCCAGTTTCCTTGTGCTGAACTGTTCAGTAATTAAACTTTAGAGGAGCAAAAATAAATTTGTGACTAGATTTACAAGCGCTGATGAAAAAAAGAACAAAGTTATACAAATGCAATAATACTCACCAGCCTGGGTTTCATTATTGTAAGATCGGATTTCCGTTATCCTGGTCTTTGACTCAAACCACAACTGTTTAGGCTGAAGTCCATCACTGAACCACAATTTACTGACATCTGAACAGGTAAGACAATTATGAGAAATCACTAACTGCATAACCAGAAAAAAGTTGAACAGCATACTTGAACAAATTGTTTTAACTAATAAGAATTTCTATGTTTACTCTGATGCCATCTGCTGCTTGAGTTGAAACATTACAGGTGTATACATGATTTTACCAGATTAACCATTAACAGATGGTGTCAAAGATTTAGCTACTCTAACATTTAAGTACAGCATCTAGCACTGTATGAAAGAAAAGCCATGTTTCTTACCTTTGTTCTGAGTGACCCAAACGAAAAGGGTCTCAATACGTGTAAAAGACACGAGCAGCTGGGGCCCCGTTTTGTATTCCTTGTAGTTCGATCCATCCACTCCAATAGATCCTATTACTCCTTCACCTGAGAAAAATAAGAGTCTTACCCAATATAGAAACAAAGGCAGGTAAATTACTAAAAAAGTTCCAACTGCCTACCTGTGTCCCCCCAATAGATTCTGGTTCCATCATTGGCAAAGGTCATTGAGATGGGGATGCTCGACTTCCTCCACAGCACTACTTTGTAACGGCCGTCCATCCATGCACAATGGATCTCAGTCTGGCTCTTTGACCCCATTATTACTATAGCAGAATAGCAGAGCCTGCCTGAGGAAGGATGGACGGTGATGGAGGAAACTCCCTAAAAGCAAAATTCCAATATCAGCATGACAAGTGAGCCAATTAAAGTTGTGCATTTTTATTATTGAAGGTATTGCATGAAACATTTAAAAAGCCAAGACTCAGCAGTGCAAAGATAACTGCAGATTTTATTGTTGAACTATCAAAAAAATTTAACTTTACAATTAGAGGTCCTTGCTGGAGAGAGGTGGTGTGGTCATCAAGACGTGAAGTCACGTGTATATCTGGTCTCTCCAGGCTGCTCCAGTAAAGGTTGGAAGTCACCCAGTCAACTGCCAAAGCAGTTATTGAATCATCCTTGAATGTAAAAATAAAAGTTTGACCACTAAGCTGCTCCAATAATTAAATCACAAACTGCAGTTTGATTGTCAAGGCTTAAATACAAAAGACATTTCCTAAAAAAAGAAAGTTAAAACATACCTGTAACTTTAGGATTTGCCCAGCAAGTAACAGCTCTGGTTTTGACTTTGAATTGCTGAATTTTAGCACGTCCACAGATCCATGTCTTAAATAAGAAACAAACACTGACAGATCTGGGATGGAAACGTCCAGATTCAGGGCCTCGGCTGGTCCTGGGAGATTAAAATCTCTTCCATTCGGCATTTTTTTAAGAGCGATTCCATCACGTCTCATAGAGCGCAGATATATCTAGATGCGTAAAGGAGTATTTTTTACTAAAGGTTGATAAATAAAATTCAAGAGCACATTTTGTCTGACTTGATTTACCTGAAACATTTTGTTACGGGACAGAAGCAGGACAAAAGATGACTCTTTTGGTAGAGTGCAAGTGATTCCGTCCTGAGAAAGCAGCAGCCCCTTCGGACAGCGACAAACTGCAGCATTTACAGCTGTTCTACTGCTGGATTTTCCTACTGAGGGAGTCAAAAGGCAGAGACTGGAGCAGCGGAGCCGATCACAGGGGCTTGAAACAGCTGGCTGGGAGAGGGCATGCATAAGCTAAAAAGAAGAAGCATCAGTTTTGTAAAAAGTAACATTGCAAACATTAACCTTATGATCATCTTACAAATGTAGCCAAGAAAAAAAAAAAGAAAAATACTTTCAGTCCAAATGGCTGCCCAGGTCTCTTAAGAAGAACCCTTTGATCCTTGCCAGTCTTCTTGTCAGCTGAACGAACTGTTCTTCTCTTGGTATCAGACCAGAACACACGGTCATTGAAAACCACCACAGAAAAAGGGCTCGGAGTCTCAGTTAACTGCAGGATCTAGTAGAAAAGGACCACCAATGGAATAAACAGCATTTCTAGAACAAATTATGTGGATTCAAATCTTAAGATTAATTATGAAATTGCAAGAATTGGCATTTTGCACCATTGGATCCCAACAACATTACATATATGGCTTTGCAGTGCTAAATGGGAGCTGAAGGCAAAAGCATTTAAGGTAATAAAAAAAATGCAACTGAGATATTGTTCAAAAGCTGCATCAAAGGTTTAAAAACAAAAGTCACAAATCCCCAATGTCATCTAAATAACAGATAAAGTGTCAATCTAAAAATAAAAAAATGTCTGAAGCTATCAATTACTGTCATTCAGGCATGCTTAAGGAAAGCGTTTTCAGGAGGCTAGTGGGAACAAAGCTCAAAGCATGGAATTTGTTTTCAGGTGGGCCACCGTCTGTTACCATTTTCCATCCTTTTAAATGTCACTTTCCATCTATCCAATTCACTAAATGGGGATTAGATTAGGGTAAAATGCTGCCTTTCATTGCCACAGCAAAACAGGAACTTTTGTTTCACTGAAGGAAAACACCAGGCATTATGACAGCAACCCAGCAGCAACGGTTCAATATAAAGTTTGCTCATGCAGCCCAGTCCTACCAAGGTCTGAGCTTTTACCATCTGGAGGTCCTGCCAGTGCAAATACTTGACTGACAATATTGAATGTTTTTTTTTTTCCTTTTAAAAAAAAACAACAAAAAAAAACAAACTGTGGCCTTAGATTTTGTGTAGCTGATGAACAGCCATTTAAGGTTTTCATTGCGATTTAATTGCCTGCTCAAAAGTTCACCTCTTGCTCTCCGTTCTCTTTTTAGCATTCCTAACCTCTGGAAATTTAAAATTACATAATGCAACACTAATATGCATCTCAGTCTCAAAACAATAGTTTCTTTGAAGGCCTCTCATGTTAACCTTCGCTTGTTAATGATTTGAGGAAAAAAAAAAAAAAATAAGAGAGGCAGAGCATATTAATAGAATACATGACTATAATTTATTTTCTATATTAGAGCCCTAATGAAGCTCAAACTATTTTAGGGCTCAGCTAATTAGTAATCCTCCGTAACAGATCCTCTTTGAAGGCCTCAAATTTTTTGTTGATTACTGAATGATTTGCCAAACAAAAGAAAAATGTCACCACCTACCTTTATGTCTTCTCCCTCCAGCGAGGCTGAACCTATGCAGCGCAGCTTCTCATCAGCCCAGTAAACCCTGCTGTCCAGGAAGTCATAGGCCAGACTGACTGGCCAGCTCAAGTCCTGGCTCACCAGCACTTTCCTTTGTGAACCATCCATCCCAGAACTCTCGATCTGAGGGATGCTGCCAATCTCAGACCACAGCATCAACCTAAACGGAAATTAAACCGTTCAGAAACATTTGCTTTCAGCAAAATCTTTACCAAACTGGCAGATCTGAAAAACATCTTACCCCCTGTCTGGTATCAGGACTAGTGAGCTTGGCTGCTCCAGGTTTTCACCAAGAACTACAGTATAGTCCTGTGATTTCACTGTGGAGCTGCTGAGATTCATTGCCAAAATCTGCCCAACCAGTCCGTCTATCCAGTACAGATTCTTACCAACCCAGTCCACTGCAATCGAGTCAGACGTCACTCCTTTAGAATTCGGGATATATATATTAAAAAAAAGTTAATCAAATTTACATTTTCAGCTAAAAAGGGATAAAAAAAAGGCTTCTATGGAACCTACCTTTGGTCAAAGTCCCTTTGTTTTTAGTTTTCATGTCAGCCCAGCGGATGCTCTGATGATCGGGGCTCAGCCAGTAGACTTTCTGCTGTGCCCAGTGGTAATCCAGAGTGAAGACTGGCCGAACGGCAGAGGAGAGAAGCTGCAGCTCACCGCTCTGGACTCCAAGGATCAACATCTCAGACTGCACTGATGCCAAAAGCAGAGGCTCATCTACAGAAATTGAGAAGTTTACTAGCTTACAAGGGAAAAAAAAAAAAAAGTTTTATGCTATTGCAGGACTACAGAAAATATCAAATTAGGCCAATGGTAGAGTATGTACAAAGAAACTGATATAAATGTTTAAAAATTTAATTTCAACATCCAGTCCGTCACAGGTCGACAAAAAAAAAAAAAAAAAAAAAAAAAAAAAAAAAAAAAAAAAAAAAAAAAAAACCCTTTCATGCACATACTCGCACCTAAGGAGGATTTAGAGAAGCCAGTTAACTTAACAGTCATGTTTTTGGACTGTGGGAGGAAGCCAGAGTACCCAGAGTGAACCCACAAACAGGGAGAACATGCAAACTCCATGCAAAAAGACCCCAGGCCACGAATCGAACCCAGAACCTTCTTGCTGCAAGGCAGCAGTGCTACCCACTGTACAGCCCCATTAATTTCAACAATACTTTATTAATTTCCCTGTTGATTAATAAACATGTTATAAACTCCTCAAAGATTACAATTTTCAACTTAAAACATTTTAAGAGCAGCATCTAATGTAGCTTATTTTCACCAAAGGGATACAATTGATATTTGAACAATTATATTGTGCAAGGACAATTTATCCATTTAAACCCCCTGCCACCAAAAAACCACTAACTATTGTATTATAAAGTGCAACTCTTTGGTTCAATTTAAATTCTAAAGCTGCACTTTCCTGCAACCAGTCACGCTGACATTATGTGTCCATTACAGAAGGAACTATTCTTTCTCAATAGGCAGATTGAAATATATGATCCGACTCCAGTACCTTTCGTCTTGCAGCTTTTCTTATCTGGCTCAAGGTAGAAGCCAGGGTGGCATACACAGTTGTAGGATCCCCAGGTATTCTGGCAGATGTGTTTACAAGAAGTAGCTGGTGTTGAAGTGCACTCATCTACATCCACACAGGACCTGGAGCTGGACTGCAGCCTAAAACCTGCACCGCAGTAACATCTCTGATGTAGGACAAAAGATAACCAAGAATGTTCATTAGAGCTACTGCTTTGATCATTTAAAAAAAACAAAAAAGTGGACTGGAATTCCAGACAAGTCATTTACTGACCGCTCCATTAGGGGTGCTGACACAGCTGTGATCACAGCTAGGAGCTGAAGGACTAGAGCAGTTTTTTTGAGCACATCCTCTGCCCTCATCTGAGCCATCAGCACAGTTGGTGATGCCATTACATACAAGCCTGGTGTCAAGACACTCTTTGCTGCCACACTGGTAAAGGTGATAAGGGCATTTCCTTTGGGTACCTTTGAAAGAAAATTCAGAATTTGATTACACCGAAGGAATTGCAGAAATACTCGAGAAAGACAATACAGGTTGCAGGTTTAGTGTGGCAACATGCAAAAAAAAAAAAAAAAAGCCACGTTATCCTTAGGACGAAAAGCCTTTTAAACATGTGTTCTGCTGTGTTTTAGTTCAACACAATGAGTTTATAGCACAAGTGACTTTGGCTCATTTTGCAAGAAATGCTTGTTTTATATAGGCGGTCTTGGTACCAAAATAAAGAATTGAGTATTGATAAACCTCTAAAGTCCAAAACTCAGCTGTATTACGATCAACTTTTTAGGACAAACCTTTTGAAAAGTCGTTAAATTCACCCGCTGTGATGAATGTTTATTTCATTGTGTGCAATTGTATTTCTAGTTATTCAATTGTTTTTTTTTCTGTGCAGTGCTCTTTGACAGTCTGAAATTGCATAAAAAATGCAAACTTTGCTTATTATGTATAGAGACATCTGAAAACTTAAAGGAACTGAATTGATGGAAAACAAAAGACAAAAAAGTACTCCAGTGACATGGGGAATTGAAGATATTGGTGCTAAGGGGATTTTACAATTATACAATCTCCTTTCAAACACAAGGGAGTTCCATTTAATATCACTTGATTAAACAATGAGGTGGAATCTGTTTTTTAAGAACATTGATGCTCACATTTATCTTCATCCATTCCATTGTTGCAGTCTTCCTTCCCATCACACCTCCAGGACTGAGGAATACACAGATCGCCATCTTCACACTGAAACTGGTACTTCCTGCATTTCATTGGAGGGTTGTTGCAGTTCTAGAAAGAGATTAATAAAATTACCAAATATTCTCTCTGCACTAAAGAGCCATTGCATTCTCCTCACCTTCTCATCCGAGCCATCTTTACAGTCGTCTTCTCCATCGCATAGCCACTCTTTCTGCAGGCATTCATGGCTATGTGGGCACCGAAGCTGCGCAGGGCAACGAGGGGCTTTAACACAGCCCACCTCATCTGAATGGTCACGGCAGTCAGGATAACCATCACATTTAAAAGCCTCAGAAATACACTGCCCGCTCTCACAGCGATGCTGGCCAGATGCACAGACTGACAAACCTACAACAAGGTGTAAACCAATGAGTTTAAATTTTGTGCAGGAAGCAAGTAAAGATCATAGCTAAACGTCACCCACCACATTTGTCTTCATCTGAACCATCAGCACAGTCTTTTTCTCCATCACAAAGGAAGGTAGTTGGAACGCAGCGGGTCTTATTGTCACAGAGGTGTTCGCAGCTCTCACTCGGTTTTGAACAGTCGATTTCATCTGAACGGTCCTGACAGTCATTCTGTCCGTCACATACCTGTTCTTGTTGGATACATTTACTGCCATGGGAACACTGGAACTGCCCTGGAATAAAAAAAAAATTAAACATGGAATAAAATCATCTACTTTAAGTGTTGGAAATGCCTACAAACTAAAAACAAACCTGGCTTGCATCGCTTTTCACATTCCTCCTCATCAGACCCATCCAGGCAGTCCTGCTCACCATCACAAACATGGCTGTACATGATGCACTGCAGGCCATTTTTACACAGCTTGAAACCTGTACGGCACTTTAGAGGCTCTGGTCTTGCGTTTGGTGCTTTATGAGAGGCTATAAAGGGTAAAGTACATGTATATTAGAAGTGTCATTTGCAAATTTGTAATTTGGGGCAGGGGTCTTGTTAAGATTTACTTTCATTAAGGTGTGCAAAACATAAGTGAATCATTTTGTGACAAGACCAGTTTAGATAGTCGATGTCAATGGTAATTTTTTAAACGATTGCTTAAACAAGATTTGTTGGCACCACCAATACTTATAGGAAATATCTTAATGTGTGGACTCATGTATTCAAGTTATTCAGAAATAAAACCACAAAAAAAAAAATAATTTTCTGTCCCCCACTGAAAATTATTTTGCAGTTTGTTAAACGCTTACTGTGGCTTTTGGGAAAGCATTTTGCTTTGTCTAATTAGATCAAGCTTTAATTTGTTTTTACCTAGTTTAGGGGGAAAAAAAAAAGTCATGCTGATCTTTTTAGCAACAAACACTTAAGCTGGCCCTGGCAAAAAATAAATAAAATAAATAAAAAAGGATAAATCTTTGAAAAAACAACTTATGCCCAGTGGTAAGGCATCCATTTTTCTTTTACTTGCTTTTCATTCAAAGAGGAACCTTGGAAATTTTCAAAGCGCTAAAAATTATTTTAGTGACCTGCTACACAAAAATTCTGGCTTCATACAACATGCTAAAAAAAAAACATCCCATGGACATCTCAGTCCTTCGACCATATATTTTTTTTTTAAAGACCGTAAAGTGAACTGAAAGGGCAAATAAGAGGATGTGGGTCTACAGAGACACTGCATAAAGAGGACAAGTCCTTTGTCTTATTCTTCCCCATCAGGCTAAATGTTAGACATTTTACCCTATATCAGAGGGCATTTACACAAATCAGTGATAGGTGTGCCAGTAGCTGCTTTAGTTTTACAATGTTGCTTTTAACATTTTCTATACAAAGAAAAAAAAATCTTAGGGGGTTAGATTCCATTTTAACAGCGATCAAGTCTATTATTTTTACAATAACTTTAAAATGTGCTGCATATTTCAGCTCACTATTTGTTTTTCTTACAGGAGGGAGTAATTTCTGATAGACACTGCTTCTCATCTGAACCATCTGGACAGTGGGCACGGCCATCGCACACTTGAGTCTTTGGGATGCACTTTCTCTGGTCCCTGCACAGGAAGTCGTCTAATTCAGAAAAGAAAAAGTCAGTGAACCAGTGAATTGTAAAAATGGACCTATATTACCAAAGTTTTTTTGCAGAACCAGCAGGTATTTTATAAAATGGACTTGCCTGGATTTTCACATTGAACTATGCACCCCTGCTCATCAAATCCATCAGGGCAATCCCTTTGCCCATCGCACAGTTGGTAGGGAGAGATGCACAGAGATGAGCCCGGGCACAGCACTGAAGGAGTGATGCAAGGTGATGCAATATAGGGGGAATCTGTTGGATCAGGGTCTGTGGTAACAAGTAAAAAAAACCGAAAACAAATTGGTATAGTTTCCAAGTTAGAGACCAGGTGAAACCAAGGCAGACTTGTAAAGGTCATTTTCCGTTATTAAACATTCCTATAAAACATTAATCTTGTAGAATTTTAACTCTACAAAGTTACCGCAGTTCAGTTCATCTGTTCCATCTGGGCAGTCTGGCTCTCCATCACAGAGAAACTTCTTTGGGATGCATCGTGTGCCATCAGCACAAAGGTGTTCGCAGCCCTTGGTCTGGTGCCAGCAGTCCACTTCGTCTGAGTGATCTCGACACTGTGGCTTCCCATCGCAGACCTCAGTCTCCGGGATGCACATCTTCCCATGGGCACACTGAAACTCTCCTAACAGTTGTGCACAGTCATAAGTAATTAAGTAGAATCGGATTCAAAGTTTGTTCTGACAAAACTGACAAACCTTCTTCGCAGGTTTCTTTGCATCCTTCTTCATCAGATCCATCCATACAGTCCATCTCTCCATCACAGATATGGCTGAATAAAACACACTCACTGCCATCATTACATGCCCTTGAGCCCATGCGACATTTTAGGATATTTGGCTTCGATGGCACTGCAGTTACAGTAGCACAGTCTGCCTCATCTGAGCCATCATAGCAGTGAGAGCGTCCATCACAAACCAAACTCCTAGCGACACAGCTTCTGCGATCCTTGCAGAGAAAGTCCGCTACAAAAGGAAGTTTTCCCGCATTAGTTGCTTTAAAAAGTGCTTCAAAATTAAAAATCATTGTTAACTCACTCTTGTCCGCACACTGTTTCACACAGTTCTCATCAGATCCATCAGGGCAGTCTCGAATACCATCGCATAACTGAGACGGGTTAATGCATACATTGGAATCAGGACACAAAACTGAAGGAAAACTGCAGAAGGGTATGTTGGGGGATGACGATTCATTAGAACTTTCTGCAGCATCTAAAAATGTATACAAAAAGACCATCTTTAATCAAAAGCTTTCGGCTGGCTGATAACAATTTCATTTATACAGTGCCAATTCCCAACATGTCATCTGTGATCAATCAATGCATTAATTGATCAAGGCATTAAAGTTTTAGATTATTGATGTATTTTAGTCTTGTAAAGTTTTCTTGACAGGAAACAATTTTAAAAGCCTTCTTTAAAAACAAGAGACCATTTTAATTGGAATTTTAGTCGGCCCGTTTTAATCAAACTGGAAAACAATTTTTACACAAAGTCAACATTACACAAAGTCTACCATTTCTGACATCTAAATATGTTCAGACTCACCACAGCCTTCCTCATCTGATCCATCAGTACAGTCTCTTTCCCCATCACAGACGTGGCTGAAGAGGACACATTCAGTTCCATCGTGACACATTCTGGATCCCATGCTACATTTTAGGGTATTTGTCTTAGTTGGAGGCTCCACTACCCAACAGTTAACTTCGTCTGAGCCATCATTGCACTGAGAGCGGCCATCACAAACTTGACTTTTAGGGACACAGCTTCGGCGATCTTTGCAGCGGAAATCCGCTTTAACAAAAAGAAAAACCCGTTTTAATAAAATTCATATTCAGACCCGCTTTAAGGATTTAAGGGAATTCAAACTACTTACAGCTGGAGGGACATCTTTCTACACAATTTTCATCAGAACCATCAGGACAATTTCTTCTTCCATCACAGATCTGTGATGCCTTAATGCAAATTGATGAGCCTGGACACATAACTGAAGGGCTGGTGCATGGTGGAGTAGTGGTAGGTGGACTAAGTTTGATGGGTTCAGGAGATTCATTCATATACTCATTTTTCACAGGAATTGGGGAATTGGTCCCTGTATAGAATGGTGTGACGTGCAAAAAAAATTTAATAAATTGCATGAAATCTGGTTTCTTGGAGCATAAAACCAGAGTATGGATAGATACTCACCACAATCTGCTTCATCTGATCCATCCTGGCAGTCTTCCTCTCCATCACAAATGTGATTCAGTAGGACACATCTCAACCCATCTTTACAGGGTCTTGAGCCAAAGCGACATTTTAGGACTTTTGCTAGAGGTTTAGGAGCCATTTCTCCATTTGGACAGTTGGCCTCATCTGAGCCATCAATGCACTGAGAACGTCCGTCACAGACTTTGCTTTGAGGAATGCAGCCCCGACGGTCATTGCATCGGAAGTCAGCTGTGGAGAGAAAAGATTCAAGTTTCTTCGACTATATCCAGAATTAAAGTTTCTGCATCTACAACCAAAGTAGTATTTGGTCATCAGCTAACCTGCTATTCAGGCTAACAAGAAAAAAAACAAAACAAAAAAACAAAAAACCTCAAGTTCCCAAGGTTTGGATAAATTGCCTCCATCAATACTTTTGGGCAATAATTCTTCTGGTTGCTGCAACAGCTGGCAAGAATGTCCATTTTACATCTCATTTAAAACAGAGGTCTTAGACATGTCTGTGATTGTCCATAGAACATGATTGACCAACAATGCCCCATCCATTTATACAAACAAGGTCCTATGCCACATGCCAAGCTTTCATCCTTATGACTTGTGCACGTCTCCTAGGTAGGGCCGGCTCTAGGTTCTTCGGTGCCAAGTTTGAACTCTTCCCAAAAAGCAAATCCAGTTATTCAATAATTATTCATTTTAAAAGTTCAAATTATTTATTTCTAGTTTTTACAGCACTAGTGGCTTGTTTTTATAGACAGTAGGTGGACAGGAAAGGGAGTAGGAGAAAGGGGGAGAGACATGCGGGAAATAACAGACCGGATTCGAACCCAGGCCGCCAGCGTCGAGGACTAAGGGCTTGGTACATGGGTAGTGTGCACTTTAAACAATTATAAGTTTAAAATATTAGTTCAAGGGGTATAATTGCTCTGCAGAAGACATGGCAATTAAAGAGACAGCCTGATGGTACCATTACAAAAACCTTAACACCTGCTTGTGTGCCCCTGCAAAACAAGTTCTTTCCCCTCGAAGTGTGAACAGTTAGACCACAAGTCGGAACAAATCTTTTACAATACAGAACGCATTCATGGCCACCATTTCAGGACATTCCTCAAAACCTAAAGGCGGGCCTGGCACTCCAGTGTTGCCGTTTGAACACTTTTTTCCTTCTTTCATTAATTTTGTCATTTTGGCTACAGCCCCCACCCAACAGGATTTTTCAAATAGGATCAACTCATAAATATTGAGTAACTTTGTTTATTATGGTGAAATATCTTTCCGAGTAGTTGTAAAAGGAGACAAACTACTTACAGGCAGAGGGACATGTGTTGAAACATTTCTCATCAAATCCATCAGGACAGTCTCTTATTCCATCACACATCTGGGTTGGTTTGATGCATAAAGTAGTATCTGGGCACAGAACTGAAGGGCTGGTGCATGGGGTCTCAGTGGGAGACTGATTCAAGCTCCCATTGTCTGGGGAAGCACTAGGTACAACCTCTGTAAAGTCAAAAAGGTAATTAAAGTTGGATACATTTTGCCAAATAAAATGAGTGAATGAAAGTAAAAGTTGGATTATGGATAAATACCACATTCTTCTTCATCTGATCCATCCTGACAGTCTGATTCCCCATCACAAATATGACTCAGGAGAAAACATGATGTTCCATCTCTACACATTTTGGACCCAAAGCGGCATTTCAAGACTTTAGCAGGAGCTTCAGGGATCACTGTGTTTTGACAGTTGACTTCATCCGAGCCATCGTTGCACTGCGAACGTCCATCACACACTTGGCTCTGCGGGATGCAGCGCCGACGGTCTCTGCAACGGAAATCACCTATGGAAAAACGTCAAAATATAACTGCCTTTGGCCCATTTATATTGACAGAGCAGGCCTACAGTTCTGTCTTATATGTTTAAGCATACAATTAGTTAATACTGGAAATCAATTATTTAAATGACATCTTTTAAATCCTACTTTTAGAAGGACATTGCTCAATGCATTTCTCATCATAGCCATCAGGACAGTCCCGCTTTCCATCACACATCTTTGTTGGTGGGATGCATACAGATGAGCCTGGACACAGCACTGAAGGGCTGGTGCATGGAGGCTTGGTGGGACGGGGCATTACTGTAGTATGCACAGGAGATTTACTTAAGAGCTCATTTTCCATATCAGACTCTGCATCATCTAGAAAATGTACAAGGTGAAATCAAGATTTTTATTTCCTCAGGAATTGAACATGTTATATAAAAAAAAAAAACTTTGATCCCAAACAATGCAATATTCCTGGATAAATACCACATCCTTCTTCATCTGATCCATCCTGACAGTCCTTCTCTCCATCACAAAAATGCTCCAGGAAAATGCACCTCTGACCATCTTGACAGGGTTTGGATCCATAACGGCATTTCAGGACCTTGTTTGGAGCAGCAGTGGGCACCGTGCTTAGACAGTTAAGCTCATCTGAGCCATCGTTACACTGAGAACGCCCATCACACACTTGGCTCTTTGGGATGCAGCTTCGACGGTCTTTGCAGCGGAAGTCAGCTTCGAAAGGTAGAATAGAATTCACTTGACTTACAGGCTTACAAACTGAATTATTATTGTTACAACAGATGGTGGCACATCATAGTTAGGTGAACAATAAATCATACGTTTAATTGTATGGTGTGTAATTTTACTCAGGCTAAGACCAAGTTTCCTCAACATTGTTTCGTCCCATTTTTTTTTACCATGGGGCCAAGAAAGGCTGGATAGTTCCAGTTCCTGAGGGCTGGGATCCTGCAACTTTTAGATGAGAGTTTGGTACAGAACTCCTGAATCAAGTAATTAGATGATTGAGAGGACTTTGGAGGAACTGATTGTATACTAAGGCGGTAACAGCCATTGATTCAGGTGTGTTGGACTAAGGATAGATCTAAATGTTCCAGGATATTGGCCCCCACGAACTGGAGTTGCCCACACCTGGGCTAAGGCCTCTAATGTTTTGGCCTACTTCAACATTACATTTTGGATACCGCCCACCAGAGTGATCTGCTTCATCCATCTCTATCGTTGTGTCCCTGGGGAAAATGCTTTACTCTTCTACCCTGCTGATGGTGGTTAGAGCGTCCAGCAGTGCCACTTTATGGTAACATCACTGCTGTCAGTGTGCCCCAGAGCAGCTGTGACTTTAAGACACTTAGCAATCAGTGTCTAAATGTGTGCACTTGTGAATGACTAATATATAGCATTTTAAGACCATGGATTCCAAAGTGTCTTTGACTACATTCAGGGGACATTTACGATTCATTTGGGCAACGGTGAAAGGAGGAAAATTTACGTAAACTTACAATCAGATGAGCATCTTTTGACACATTTCTCATCAGACCCATCAGGACAGTCCCTCTTTCCATCACACATCTGGGTTGGTTTGATGCATAAAGTAGTATCTGGACACAGAACTGAAGGGCTGGTGCATGGAGGTATGATGGGAGGCAGAGTAACTTCTTTGGTGGGTGCAGGAGTTTCATTTTTGACAGTACCACTCTGTTCATCTTTTAAAAAGCAAAAATGCAGTTAGATTTAATCAAGTCCATGATTTCCCATATTTAAATTCGAGAAGGTGTCTGGATAAATACCACATCCTTCTTCATCAGAACCATCCAGACAGTCCTCTTCCCCATCACAAACATGATTCAAGAGGACACACCTCAGGCCATCCTGACAGGGCTGTGAACCATAGCGACATTTCAGCACTTTACTTGGAGCTTTGGTGGCCACTGCACTTTGACAGTTACGCTCATCTGAGCCATCATTGCACTGAGAGCGACCATCACACACTTGACCATTTGGGATGCAACTCCGACGGTCTTTGCAGAGGAAATCAGCTTTGGAGGACAATTTCAATTACGTTTTTAGATTTGTATGAAGCTCCCTTTAAAACTCTTCTGCTTTAGCAGTAGCACAATAATAGTAAATAAGTAAATCACTTACAGTCAGAGGGACACCTTGTCAGACATTTTTCATCAAACCCATCAGGACAATCCCTTTTACCATCACAAATCTCTGTTGGTTTGATGCATATCAGCGAATTGGGACACAAGACTGAAGGACTGGTGCATGGAGGCTTGGTGGGAGGCAGAGTTTCACTTTTAGCTTGTGCAGGGGATCCTTTCATATGATCTTTTACAGCACCACTCTGTGCATCTGTTGGACAAATAAACAAAGTTGAGGTCCGATTCTTTACATTAACAGAGATAAAACTTCCTAGATAAATACCACATCCTTCTTCATCTGATCCATCCTGACAGTCCTTTTCTCCATCACAAAAATGCTCCAGGAAAATGCATCTCTGATCATCTCGACAGGGTTTGGATCCATAGCGGCATTTCAGGACCTTGTTTGGAGCAGCAGTGGGCACTGTGCTTGGACAGTTAAGCTCATCTGAGCCATCGTTACACTGAGAACGCCCATCACAAACTTGGCTCTTTGGGATGCAGCTTCGACGGTCTTTGCAGCGGAAGTCAGCTTTAGAGGGCAACACATTTTTTAAAGTTTAATTGCATTTTTATATTAGCTTGAAAACATTTTACTGATCCTTAAGGTACTCACTGTCTGAGAAACATCTTTTCACACATTTCTCATCAGATCCATCAGGGCAGTCTCTCTTCCCATCACACATCTGGGTGGGTTTGATGCATATAGAAGAACCTGGACAGAGAACTGAAGGGCTTGCACATGAAGGCGGGCTGGCCGTAATTCCTGGGGTATCTAGGAATGAACCCAAGAAAAGAGGCAATTTAAAAAGTTACATATAATGCAGCAACTTTTGAGTCCATCAAAGTTTGTCTGAAAGAAAAATCACTTTGCCTAATAAAGCAACCATTAAGAGAATATCTGTGCTCTGAAAATTAGACAACCTTCCAGTTACCTGGACCTTAAATAAATTTAGGACAACATCTTTCAGATAAGACTTAATTGCAATACGTTTAAACAGCAGAGGGTCCTTGATATTTAACATTATGCAAATTAGGCTTCCATTGGCTAAATGGGTTAGCCTGGGTGCCAGTCAGAACTTAGTCCCGCCCACAAGGTTTGAGTTCGGGGAAGTTCGGTCTGGCTCTGCTCCATAGTAGCGCGAGTATTAAAGCCCACTGTCAGGCGATCCAATCAAATTGTCAGGGCGGACTTTATACGATGATGGACAGATGATCAACAGTAACGTTATCAACCACGTGACCAAAGCGCGCTAGGGCGACAACAATAATGGCTGCCGCTGGAGAGTTTGGGTGAGTAGATTCTGCTATTAGGTCTGTTCTAGAAGATATAGAAAGCAAATTAATTTTAAAAGAGGAACAGAGAAACGCGAAACTGCACGCTTTGATTTTTGTGGACAACAACTATGCCTCGCTTAACATACGTCACGCACTCCGTTGCTCTTATTGGTTGTAGATCTATCCAATTGAGTGCAGAGGCATTTTTTTTCCTGGTTCGTTCGAAACACGCCCCATAATCACAGCTCTATGGAGCAGTATCAGACTCATATTCTGACTAGAATTGAGTCGGACTACGTCAGGCTATAAATGGGTATCAATTGGTTAACAAAAATAAAATACACTTCATAATAAACTTTGAACAAGAGTCATTTCTGAAAACTAACATCCTTTTCAGGAACCCCATCAAATCCATGGGGTTCATCACCAGCATCTTGTGTTTCTTCTCCAGTCCATGCCGAGCATTTAATGCACCCTGAAAACAAAGCTAGATTCTGACTCTGCAGTCAACTGGCATCCAATGCCCATTTTTGCTCCCCTGCTCTACCCTTTCATTAATCACAGCAAGCAGTGTTCACTAATGAAATGCTGCTTTTTCTGATCAAGTTGAAGCAACAGACTGAAGGCAACAATCAGCGTTACCAGTACGTTAAAGTCAGCATATTTTGGTAATGAAAAATTCAGTGCCATTACCCACAAACATACCTTAAAGTATGGTGTCAAATTAAACATGGACAAAGATGGAGCAGGAAAAAGGTGCCTACTTTTCTGACACCAGTATTAAGTTCTTTAAGGTTAGCATTTTTTTTTTTTACAGTTAGGTTTTGGCTCAACCCCAAAATCAGTGGCCTTAATACCCAACCCTAATGTAATACCTTTGGTTTATCCCCTTTCCTGAAGGCCAACCATAATCCTGACATTGGTGGATGGTAAATCTTAAGGGGATTCATTTCAATAATTTCTCATTGGGAGTGATTTCTGGGTTGTAGGCCTTGCGGTACACTGCTGTTTTTCGGGGGGACTTTAGAGGACAGCAGTTCTTGTGGGTTTGAGAAAAATGCAAACATGTATACTTTCAATTTGATCCAACTCATGGGTTCATGTAAATCTTATGATAAATGCTCACCACATCCTTCTTCATCGGATCCATCCAAACAGTCCTGCTCTCCATCACAAACATGGCTCAGGAGAACACAGCTTACTCCATTGCTGCAAAGTTTAGACCCAAATAGACATTTGACCCCATTTTGACCACCAGTTTGAACCAAGTTCGGACAGTCCACTTCATCTGAACCATCAAGGCAGTGAGAGCGGCCGTCACAGACTGAACTCTTTGAAACGCAGCTCCGATGGTCTTTGCAGAGAAAATCACCTACAAACAGATTCAGTTGGTATTACGTGTTTGAGGGCAATTTAACATCGTAAAATATTTGGTTCCTACTTTTTGATGGACAACTTTTTATGCAGTTCTCTTCATCAAAACCATTAGGACAGTCTTTACGCCCGTCACAAAACTGGGACTGAGAAATGCAAACATATGCATTGGACGAAGGACAGAGGACAGACGGGCTGAGGCAGGCTGGCAGAGTCAGAGCAGGAGGTGTGGTAACAGGAAGCTTCCCACTTGGTTTTGTCCAACTTGTAGGTTCTTGTGTTGCATCTTAAACGACAAAGTTATCACCATTAACAGTAGATGCCTTATACTTTTGTGAAAATAAGTCAACTTACCACATCCCAGTTCGTCAGAGCCATCAGTACAGTCTGCTTCTCCATCACAGACATGACTGTATAAAACACACTCTGTGCCATCTTCACACAGCATTGAGCCACTGCGACACTTTAGGACATTTGTCTGCGATAGAGGAGCCACCACGGTTGGGCAGTCAACCTCATCTGAGCCATCATGGCAGTGGGCCCGGCCGTCACACAAGAAGCTTCTGGGAATACAGTTTCTGTTGTCTTCACACTTGAATTCCTCTGAAATAAAAGGTGTTCCCAAACAAGTTTGGCGAACTAGTGAACACAGGCTTTCCTGAGATTACAGCTGGGCTGGCTATGATGATAAAGTCAGTACCTACCCTTAGGACAAGCGCTTACACACAACTCCTCGTCATCTCCATCAGGGCAGTCCCTCTTACCATCACAGAGAAGGTTTGGTGGAAGGCAGACTGTTGACTGTCTGCATAACCAATACGGGGCATTGCAGACTGGAGTGCTGGGCACTATGAACAGGAGAGAAAAAAGAAAATGATCAGAACTTCTCCCAAGAATGAATCAATGGTCAATGAAATCTTCCAACTTTGTTTACCAATATCCACTCTCACAAGGCTCATCAAAAGTTACCATTTTCCACATTCTACAGCTACGCATCAGTTATTTCAGTATACATCCCTCCTGTCTCTGATTTTTTTAGCTGCATATCCTTCCAGGCCAGCACTAAAGAGAGAGTTATTCCAGCCATCAGTGTGGTTTCCTCTCTTTTGTTCTAGTACTTCTGAATCATCCCAGCTTATCCAAGCCACAGGCAGATGGCCAATCAGGAGGCCTTGTTCTGCTTGAAATTGTGATCCTAATGAAGGCCGATTTCTTCATTTCCACTGTCAGAATGTGTATGCTCAGGTTGGGTTTGCTGCGACAGGCTGGACTTCACCAGATCATTTTACCAGTTGGCATTTTGAATGAGGATTAACTGGATTTTACCAAATATAATCAGAAGCAAACTGACATCTAATCAATATTAAAATTATATGCTTTTTTTTAGCAGTGGAGTCTTACAATTATTTGATAAATGTGGACAAAATGACACTAGGATTAAACTGAAACAGCAAATGCTACATAAAAAGCTTAAAAATAGAACAATCTGACCTGTTTGAAATTTTCCAAGTGATACAATGACACTCAGTAGGGGACCTTTCACAGAAACAGACTGAAGTCGGTGTCCATTACGTTGATCCCACAGAATCACCATGTTGTTAGAAATGGACAAGAGGAAAGGCTCGAAAGCAGCCACAACAGAGCCCGAGATGTTCCACCTTCTTCCTGCTTGGTGGCTTTTCTCCTTCAACAAACTTAGAATCGTCAAACCTAAACAGGATGACCATGAACATTAAATGGTTCATCAATTCTTGTTTGCATCTCAGAAATCAAGTTCTACTGAATTAATCCAAACACTTAATTACTAAAACCCTGGGAACAGAACCAATATCCAGAAAATGTTCAAAACTCTATGTAAAGAGACACATTTTTACAATTTCCCTTTAAAGGTAAAGCATAAACTGCAAGGGAAAACTCTGCATCAAGTTTTTTTTTTTTAAGCACTGAGGACATTTAAACACTGTTACACACCTGCTCTTTTAGAGTTCCACAGGAGGCAGCTAGCTCTCAGATCAAAGGCGATGTTCCCACCAACGTCTTCTGCCATCTGCAGCAGCTCTTTTGCCTTTTCTCCGCTCATCCACATGCTAAAGACCCAGCCCTCCTCCAGCCAGAACATCTCACCCCTCAGCCAGTCCAAGTAAAAGCTTCTAATCTTCTTTGTGGTGCGGTACAGCTGCTGTGGGTAATTACTACCGGATGCGCTTGTACCAATAACTTTCTGGTCACACGACACCCAGAAAAGGTTCCCACTCTTTTGGTCCACAGACAGCAGACAAACTAAATGAAATACAGTTTTAATAGTGATGGTTCAGTTAAACTGGACGGTTGTAGTAAACAGGTAATTGATAAAATTGATTAAATAGGTTCTCAAAAATTTTTTTTTTCTGAGCAGCAACGAGTAGTTCGATTTAAATGTCAAATATACATTTGAAAATGCTTTGCTCCAACCTGGCAAAGGTGTTGGGATGAACTCTGTCCTGTCTCGATTTAGACTGGTGCGTTGGACATGACCAGTGCTGTTGGCCCAATAAAGCCAGTCTCTGTACCAGTCGACATCAAAAGACAGGATCCCTTCATCTGAAGAAAACAGCTCCGTTTCAGAGGACTCTTTTGCTGTAAACTCCAGCAAGCTGATTTTTTTGATAGTGCCATACAAGAACCGGGGATCTGTAAAACGAATAACTGCAGAATTACTGAAAAGCATCCAACAGGAAAACTGGAGCTTTAAAAGTCTTATGCAAGTTTGTACATTTTGCACAGTTAACGTACATTCACATGTCCCATCAGGCAGTAGTATTTTAAAATACGGACATGCACAGGTGAATCCATTGGGGTTGCTCTTAGTCAGTTGGCAGAGAAGGCAGACAGTCTTGGCACAGGCTGAGGACCCTACATTTGATTAACATGAGAATTTTTTTCCTCCAGTTCAAATCTGTTTATTGCAACACCGTTTCTTTTTCTCTCTCTCTCAATAGCAAAATTAACACAAAAATTTAATCTACAAAGTACCCTTTGGCTGTTGGAGCTCATGGTAGACCGACAGCAGAGGGAAGTCAGTTTTACTGAGGAATTTCCGAGGATTTGGTTGGCCTTGGGGAGCTTGCCACAGTCCTTTCTCATCGGTCCAAAAGAACATCCCTTCAAAGACTGCGAGGCTCAAAGCTGGTCTCTTGTTAAATAGCCCGATAAAGGAGTAGCGACCCGTCCCATCCACCTTCACCGTCTCTACAGACTGAAAAGATTAAGTTTTAGCAATGTTTAAGTTGGTAACTTCACAAATTATTTCAGGAGTGAATTTTACTTTAAACAGCAAACAGTTCAGAGTTGAATATTTAAATACATTATCCATCCAAGATAACATTTTCCATATGAAACATTTTATTCAGGGACAAGAGTTAAGAAGGTCAAGATGACACATTAGTTTTAATAACCTATGAATGATGGTATGTAAATTTATAATTTTCAATACTAAGGATGTTTGTAGGATGAAATGTGAATAGTAGATCAGCTATTCCACTGCAAATGGGAAAAAAAATTAAAATAAAATCACTCAGGAAAAACATGATGAGCAGCTCATGTGTGCCGTTTTTAATTCAGGACCCACCATCTTCAGGTCACTGATCCAATAGAGCCTCCTGGCAGCAACATCAGTTGTAAGGCTGTGAGCAATCTGTGCAGTGAGGACTGTAAGAGTGCTTCTGTCTGATCCATCCATCCAAGACTTCTCCAATGTCACTCTGTCACCTGGACCTTCATTTATCCAGAACATCAGGCTGAAGAGAAAAGATATATAGCTTAAGCATTATAGTGTGATTAAGGCATGTTCGTAATGTTCACTGTATATGATGGAGTGGGACTGTTAAGAAAAAAAGGAAATAAAACAATTATACTCACCTCTCAATGGGAAGAAGAGCCAATTCTGATGGGCGGACATTTTTGTTCAGTAAAGTTGTGAAACTTTTACCATCGTTTGACTGCATGTAGATTGACTCAGTCTTCTGATTGGTCCAGAAAAGGTATCCATTTAGCCAATCACAGGCTAAACCCTTAATTCCAGGTTTTCCTGTGAAATCCCAAACATTTTGCAAATGAGCAGCCTTATCATTAACTCGATGGTGGCCATAGTGGCATTATAAGACTTAGAATGAGCATGCCCCCCACCAGTAAACGTTGTCCAGCTGCTCCGCCCATTGGTTTTGTAAATACTTCCGCCACCATCGGCCCAGTAGTACCACCCTCTGGCAATGTCATAGGCTGATGCCACTGGCTCAAACACTGAAGCTTTGATTGCATTAAACTGCAGGGATTTTACATTCAGAAGTCCTAACGTGTTCCTCTGTACCATCAGCAGTTGGGTTGCATTAACTGAAAAATGTTGAAAAACTGCAAATGAGTTATGGTTTTGGTTTAGTTGTTTCTGAGCAATTTTTTTGCAATAGTATCCACTTGCTCAGATACTGTATTTTATATTGCTCTGTTATAGTATTCTTCACTAAACATAAGCTTAAATGTAGAAAAGCGCTTTCAGTTTTGTAAACATACTTGAAGCTTGACATGTAGTGTCTCCGCTGAGTTCAAACCCCTCTCTGCAGTGGCAGAAGTAGGATCCAATAGTGTTTGTGCAGTGATGAACACATGGAGGAAAAGCTGCTGCACATTCATCAAAATCTAAAAATGAAAAATCAGTTATAGATTTCAATGCCAGGGGTTTGTAAATGGATGGGAAGCAGCCACAGAACTTCACACGCATAATGTATAAGCCAGCATTACAAAATATATTTAACATTTAGACAGAAAATATCATTCATGGTATACAGGGTACTATGACCACTCACCTTCACAGACGGCACCATTGGGGGAGAGCTTATAACCAACTGGACAAATGCATTGCACTCCCCAGGATTCATCTTTGCACACATGGCTGCAGCCACCATTGGACATGGAGCAGGTACGACCTGAAGAGGAAATAACACCAAGGTTGCATATTAAAGACATGCTTATTTACCAAACCTAAGCTTATGTTGCTGGACTCACTGCAGGTTATAGGCTCATCACTGCCATCAGAACATTGAACCCGTCCATCACACCTTTCCTCAGCTGACAGACACTTACCCTCAGGACAGCGGATGCCACCCTTACTACATTTACCTTAATGAAAAGGCAGAAAAAGAAATGCCTCCTGAAAGCCTCCATTAGTAGAAGATGGACAGCCATAATATTTAAAATTTACATTTCTTAGTACCCCTAAAATTGATCATGAAGATGTGCATTGCTCTAGAGACTTAAAACTTTCACTTCATTAGCTTTGAGTGATGCAAGTTCATTGGTGACCATTTCAAGTAATGTTTTTTGTGCATTGATTATTTAACGAAGTTCATAAACATAGTTAAAGGACACCAAATATCATGAATCACCTGATAAATTAAAGAAAGCCTTTCTAGCAGAAAATAACTGATTTGCTTGGTCAAAAATAGCCCTAGAAATCTGAGCTACAACCTACTTCTAAACTGACCCTCGGGCTGATTTAGTCTCTACTAATCCTTGAGGTTTTCTCACCACATTCGCCTTCATCAGAGTTATCAATGCAGTCATTTTGTCCATTGCAGCGCAGCTCCTTGGGGATACAGATGCGGTTTCCACACATCCACTCAGAATCCAGGCAGCCCTCTGTGGCTGGGCAGTTCTCCTCATCAGAACCAGTTGGGCACTGATTCTGTCCATCACAGCGGGCTGAAGCATCCACACAGCCAACAGATCCCACGCATGGAAACTGACCAGGAGGACAATCGGAGTCTGTGGAGGCTGAAGGCAACAGAGTCAAAGCAGAAGGCACACAAGATTTGATAGTAACTCTATAAAAGCAGTTTAAACCACTTCGCCATACCATCACAGCCCATTTCATCTGATCCATCCAGACAGTCTCCCTCTTCATCACACCTCCACGCAGCAGAGATGCAGAGTCCATCGTCACACTGCCACTGGCCTTCAGGGCAAAGCAGGGGTTGGCCTACAGAACAAGACAAGAGTTAAAGAAAAAAAAAAAAACATGTACGTTGCCCAAGTTTATTTTTTAAATCTAGCTAATAAAAAAAGTACATTGGTATTAAGTGTTACTTTAAAACAATTTTACCGCAACAAGCTGGAATGAAAGCCAATAAATTCAATTCAGCTCATTTATAAAAGCGCCATTCACAATATGTCATCTCAAGGCAGAGATTGAAGTGGAAGTCCCTTCATGAAAGCATGTTGCTTAAACCCATATATCTCAGTTAAAAATAAATGCATATATACAGTACAGACCAAACGTTTGGACACACCTCATTCAAAGAGTTTTTTTTTTTCATTTTTCTGACTATGAAAATTGTAGATTCACACTGACTCATCAAAACTATGAATTAACATGAAATTATATAGCCTACTTAATAAAAAAGTGTGAAACAATTGAAAATATGTTATGTTCTAGGTTCTTCAAAGTAGCCACCTTTTGCTTTACTGCTATGCACACTCTTGGTCTGTACTGTATATACACACAAACACACACACTCACACACCCCCTACTCGTTCTGCCATGATAGTGAGGACCATATATTGACTCCCATTGACTTCATTGATTTCCACTGATTTTCATTTTCAAACCTTTCTATGCCCCTAAGCCTAAAACTAACCCTAAACCCAACCATTACCAATGCATATCTCACCCTAAACAATGGACACCTTAGCCCTAAACCTAATTTGATGGTGTAATTGGAAAAATGGTCCTCACTCTGAGGGCTAGACGGGTACACACACACACACACATGAGTACCTCATGCCACATTGCAATTATAGCCTACAGGAATTCATGTCATAGTATTTGGATCATAAAGTAGCTGTAGTATTCAGTTAGTGAGCTGGAATTAACCCCTAGGTTTTAATATAGCCAAAAAATAAAACCATAAAATTTGTTAAATTGGTATTAAGCAGGGAAAGTACTTAAAATAACATTTAATTAATCATATTTAGTTACTTTAAAACAACTGTTTTATGTCCTACCCTGCTGAAATAAAAAAAAAAAGAAATGTGTTAAATTAATATGATTAAATAAATGCAAAAAAAGTTGCATTTTTTTTTCCCTGTGTACAAAACGTATATGCTTGGGTTTGACTTTTGAACTCAATTTGCCGTTATTTTGTAGGCGACATAAAATAGACTGACCGAGGTTTTACACAATGAACTTATACTTGCGATGAGAGCGTTTGAAGGCAGAATAATGTAAGTTTTGGTCGAAAATTAGACTTACCAGAGGAAAATCCAAGATTTGAGAGAAATATCAACCAAATGACAAGAGGCAGGTCCATGTCGGCCCGCGACTGATTCAAACAAACAGGACGAGCTGAGAGGAAGATTTTAATCATTATCATCATCACCTGCTGCTGCAGGTGCGCCACTGATTGGGCTCCATGGCCTCCGGTCAGTTACTTTCCAAAGTGATACTACAGGGCCTTAAGGTCTGCCAGATGACAAAACAAAACAACAAATTAATAAATATGAGTGAATATAGAAAAATATACGTGGTTTTTATATTTCTACATTAATTGCAGCTTCATTCACTGCTTAATATGTACATCTTCTAAATATCTTTTTCAAGGTTGTTTTTACCATCCACCAAAATTATTTTCTAAGAGAAAAGGACCGTCATCTAATTAGGTATCTAATTAAGTATTTTCATAAAAAAAAAAAAAATCCTCCAACATTAAGCGAATAAAAACGTCTGAAAAGTAAAAACACTCTACATAAAATGTATTCAATTACCTGCTTTGAAAACGAAAAGGAAGCACTATAAACGACATTTGGCTACTCAAACTTGGAGACGTTTTTTGAAAAAAAAAAAAAGATGGAATAAGGATAAATAAAAAGAAGATTCTATAACCAGCACTGTAAGAAACAAAGTGCAGTCTCGATCAATGGCGTAACGACACAGCAACAGGCCCGTATGCAACATTATCTGGGTGGGCACCAAATGAAGTACAACACCCCAATCTACGCTCTGGGTTACCACAAATTCCAAGTCGTATTATCAAAAATAAAACACTCAAATACATCTTTAAGATCTTTATTGCGGTTTGAAACATATTATATGAGTACATATTTTTTTTAACCAACCGTCTAATGAACTATACAGTTATTAACATAGTAGCCTAATTAAAAGTTCCACCATCTGCATTGCTATTGGTGACATGTTTAAACAGTTCACCATCATGTTGAAATCTGCTATTTGTTGGAGTAAAATACGGTCTGGTCAATTCATATGTTGAAAGATTGGTTGAAGAAGAATTTTTCTCACCATTTCATCTGCAAAGAGACGTCCTAGGATTCTCAATTGCGAAGGGGGCCTCTAGGTGTCAGTGACGGGGCCACTAAGAGGTCGGGGCCCCCTAAACAACTGCAGTCTCTGCGTACAGATAGTTACGCCATTGATTGGTCTTGATGACAGTAGGACTTTACTCAATGTGATGTGTTCATTATTTTTACTACAATCTAAATTATCAGCGCTACACATACAGTGTGTTGAAAAACGTCGTGTCTAAAGTGATTATATTTCAAAAGAGACTTTTTTTTTATTTGTGAGGGGAAAAAAAGCCTTTTGAACAATACTGTCCTAATTCCGTATAACAGATGACCTGAACTTCACCCCCCCCCCCCCCCCCCTTATATGTTTTCTTCTTATTTATTATTTATTATTTTACGTTTTACATATCTTTAGTGCAGATCTTAGACGTAGGGAATTAACCCCTTAAAGGCAAGTGTATCATATTTGATACCTGAGTTTTTGAAACCTCTGCATATCAGTGTGATGTTTTTGTTCTTGTAACCCTGACTTACATAATCAGACACATGTAGTGTAGAGAAAACATTGAAAAGATTATACAGAAATGCTGAATGTATCAAAACTCATCCAAATAAATGATGAAATTAAAGGTTACAAAATGAATATTTCTATTTCATTTGTCAGAAAGTTCAATGACAATTCTAATTTTGGAAAATTAGAATATTCTGTCAATTATTTCATGGTTCAGGCTTTAAAAGGTTAAAATATATATTTTTTATTTTAGATCACAATTATAAGAAAAATATTAAAGTTCACATAATTACTGTTAATGTCAGGTAATATCTTTTATATACATCACTTTGTAGCTGTAAGTTGTGTATTTATTAAGATGCAGTTTAACATCTTTAATATTTGGTGACAATAATTTACGTTTTTATTAAATATTAACTATAATAGGCTATGAATTATTTTTAAATATAATAAAACGGCTAGAAGTGAGCGCTCATATGATACTGCGTTTTTATGCTTTTTTTTATTTCGTTAGATTTGTTTTTTGAAGTAACATTATTTGTTTTGTCCGTAATAAAAACAAATGCACTGGTTTTATAAATCATTTTCAAAGGAACGTCCTTCTTTAATGCAAACACAATTTTCTTGACTTCAGGAATGAAAGGAATCAAAGCTTAATGCAGCCTTTTCATCCCCTTAGATGCTGAGTGAGCACTTTGTTCCATAAATTAGTGACAATTAAGACTGATGTTTGATAAAAGCATGTGATGAACGGTTGGATGAAACATCTCTTTCTCAAAGGAAAACACGCGTGTTTTCTTAAATATATGATGTCATTCACTTTAAAAATTAAAAAAGCTTAAACTTATAAGATTATATGGGTTTTTAGACCAAACTATGATGGAAAAAACACTTAAGACACCATTTTAAAGTAAAACTGCCGTTTTTTTTAATTTTAACATCACTTATAAAGAATAATCGTCACTATATCCGATCATAGTCTTTATACCCATCATAATAATTATTTTCTAACCTTTTATGTCATGTTTTAGATTCACACTTGGTTTTCAAAATATAAAATCTTATTTAAATGCAACTATTTAACTATTAAAATGTTTTTGTTGGTGTTATTTTAGTTTCCTAATTGCTCTGTCTTATTCTTGTGTGTTTTTAATAATATTTGACGCAATCGTTTTAAAACTAGTACCAAGGATTTTATTGGGTTGAAGTAAATATTTCACAATGAATTCTTTAAAAAAAGAAATCTGCAAACTAATATAACATTTCTAACTATGTTATTACCTACCTTCTTTCTCCCTCGCTTGTTTTCCAGCCTCTATCCCAACATGTGAAGACTTGAACTACACAGAGTATTTCTCCACATGATTAACTCATAATCTCATTGATCACTGAACAGATCTTTAAGCTCCTTAAATGGTATCTTTTATTTTTATTTGTTTGTTAGAGCTTCTAGGATCTGTAACAGAACAGCAGCAATTAGAGCTTTTTTACAGTTTTCATGCTTGTGCCACTACAAAGAGCTTTTTGGTTTCGATGCATAACGACCGTCTCATTACGGCCTTTGGATCAGAGCCATCCGCGTCTTTACGCATCTCTTCAAAGGACTTCAAGATGAGAGGGTGGGATTATAAAACTGAGCTCCAGGTTCTCCTCAGGACCAGATCCAGATCTGATCGTGGAGGTGACTGCATCTCAGTTTGGGAATTATGAAGGGTATCGCTGTGGAGTTCCTTTTTTTTCTCCTGGTGGATTTGGTTTGGAGCATTTCTGCGCAGCCCTTCGGTGGGACGCCTCCTGACGCACTGCTCCGTGGGGTGAAGGCTCCATCCGGCGGCTTCAGGCGCTCCATGCAGCGACAGCAAGGAAACAAGCTGCCGCTCTACATGATGCAGCTCTATCGGACCATGCGCAGCGGTGATCGGGCCGGTTTCTCTGCAGCCAGCAGCCGCATCGGGAGGGATGAGCTCCCCGTCCTCAAAGACGCAGACTCCGTAATCAGCCTAATCGCAAAGAGTGAGTTTTCTTTTTCATAATTATAACCAAATAATTTGCAAAACAAACTTTGAATTAGGGGCAGTCTACATTTATTAAAAAAGTAAAATTAAAGTCTTTGACTAAGAACTTTCTGGCCTTTTTTTTGAACGTTAAACATACAACTAATCAGCATCCTGTAGAGTAAATGCCACCCTCTTCTGTTAACCTATAATTAAGATACACTACAGAATTTAAAGACAATTAAAAATTGATTTTGAAATTTTCATGGATTTCAACCTAAATTACATCTACATATCTTTTTTTAAACATATATAGAAAGTTTGTCTTTTTCTTAAGTTTTAGTAATGAAAAAAAAGAAAAGAAATTATTTTGAATGACTCAATGGACCCAATTGCAATGAAAAAAATGTATCCTTCTTTTGGATCTTTGTTAAATGTTCCTCATCTTTATTCCCAGGCTACCAGCAGATTTGTGAGAGGTGGTCCGTCACCTTCGACTTCTCGTCCATGTCTCCAAGCGATGACATCCAGCTGGCTGAGCTCCGCATCCGATTACCTGCCTTCGCTGCCTTGTCCTCCCCTGCTTTTATAGACATCTATCACTCCAACTGGGAACAATGCTCCAGCATGGACTGTTTTGAGAGCAGGCTGCTTCTGGGCCGCCTGAGGGCTCATCCAGGCTCAGCGGTCTCACCTTCCTCTTGGAAAGTGTTTAACATGACCAAAATGCTCCGCCGCTGGCTTCACCGGGGACCTGCTATGCAGACCATGGAGGGAGGTCTAGCTGAGGGCAAGGAGGAGTGCAAGCAGCAGAGAATCCAACATCCAACAGCTGACAGGGTGATAATGGTGGTCTTCTCCAGGCAGAGCCAACATAGCCAGCGAATGCCAACGCTAATCCGCACAGTGGAGCATTCAAAGTATGTCAGCCTGGACAGGGAGCGACCTGTGCCCACCTCCAGGGTGAGCAGCCTTAGAGAAAAGGGACACGAACAAACTGAGCGGAAACGGAGAGACACTGCAGGGGAGGAGGAGCTAGGTCATCTCTGCAGGAAGGTGGACATGTGGGTAGACTTTGAGAAGCTCAACTGGAGTGACTGGATCGTCTATCCCAAACGGTATAACGCTTACCGCTGCGAAGGGACATGTCCTATTCCTGTAGATGAGAACTTCGCCTCAACTAATCATGCTTACATGCAGGTAAGGCTAAAATGCTGCAGGAATGATAAATATCTTGATTTGAGGAGATGTGATCTAACTTTTGATATTTTTTCATTTAATTTCAGAGCCTGTTAAAGTTTCAACACCCAGAAAAAGTGCCAAGCCTTTCCTGTGTGCCCACTCGCCTGGCACCACTTTCCATGCTGTACTATGAGAATGGGAGGATGTTGATGAGGCATCACGAGGATATGGTCGTAAAGGAGTGCGGCTGCCACTGAGAAGAAAACACGGATAAAAATCAACAGGCACTTTACGTCGAATCTAAAAACAGGAGCAGCTGCAGGAAATCTGTTAATGTTGAATTAAAATGAAATCAACAGGAATTTATCAGCTGGACTTGATTCGGACTCCTTTAACAGAAGCACTACTAGATTTTTGCACACATTGTTTGCAACTTTGTGCATAAACTTTTCTTCTAAGTCCAAGGACTTGATTTTTTTCCAACGAAAAGGAAAATGCTATAATAGTCTAAATGTTAAAAAATGTTGGGTCATACTGACCCATCTGATTGTTTTCTGTATATGAAAGTACAATAAATTGTCAAATTTGAAAATTGTAATTTGTTGTCTTTCATAAGATGGTTTAAAGATAGAGATAGCAGTGTTCATTAAACTGGTTGGCTTACAGGTACAGAACAAACATATTAGCAAAGGCAACATGATTAATTATAATGAATAGATTGGACTAAACTTAGCTCAGAACTTCTCATTTCTTATTTCTCAGCCAGGCAATGGCTGAACCACTGTAGCCTGGCCAGCCTTAGGCCCCATAAGTTAGTCAGGCTAGACATATTGCTAATCTTTGGGTTAAGGATTGCTTCACAGGATTGTTTTACTTTTGCATTATTTGCTTATTCGCATATACGTTTGTCAAGCACCCTCTGATATTTGGTTATAACTTATATTAACAGTCAGAATATTTATATACCCTTTTTATGGATACAATGGCTAATTTTATGTTGTTTTTTTAAAGATCTCTTTTTAACCCAGACACAAAATATTGTTTTCACTTCCACTATAAAAAGCCAGGACCACACCCAACTAAATGTCAGAGTTTAAACAGGAAAAAAAAAATGTTCTAGAAAACGTGCACCTCATAAGATTTTAGCCGTTTAAATTCAGATAAATGTGTTTTTGTCCTTCCTTTTTCCAGTAACTAATCTTTACAGAAACCTTTACAAACAAGCATATAATTCATTATATATTTGTTATTTATATTACTGGATTCCTTGGTTTCATGTTAATTATCCATATATTAAAATATGTTAGAAAAACAGAGGCTGTTAAATAGTTATTTACATCCATATTTAAGAAATGTCAATTTTTTCAGGCAGATTACAGAAAATTTATGAAATTTGTCTACCATGAAAAAGAAACAAATTTCAAGCTTTTGACATGCATAAAAAAAATGAATGTAAGATCAAAGCTGTATGATTTTTTTTCTTAGTTGCAAAAAAACCCCCAGTATTTTCAACTTTTCTACACGTTTATATCTAAACTGTACAAATTAAATGAGAAATGAGAAATACTATAATATTTTATTTAGTAGGTTTGTATATTAAATATGGGTTTTTGTTTTTCTATTGAATAAAAATATTAAGTTTCTTTTTATCTTTGAACGGAAAAACAAAAAAAAAACAAAAAACAGATGAACAACTTTGTAGTTTTGATTAATGAATATACAAACACTTTTAATGAACTTCACAATAATAAAAAGGCTCCAAGCTTAAACTAAATGGTTTGTTAATTGAGAGACAAAGTATTTACCATCTTGCAGGCAAATGATTAGAAAATATTCATTGAGATTAAAAAGCAAACGAGCGATGACTGAGAATAAAGGCATAAAACAGTCCTATAGTAACAAAACCACATTTTAAAATTCATGTAACAGTACAGTGAGCAAGTCTCATCAGCTGGAAATGTAGCAAATAAATGGACAGGAAATTGAGAAGTCATGTAGATTTTATCTGCTGCCCTCAAGTGGCCAGAAGCAGCCATTACAGAGTCCAAAAATTAGATTGCCAAGTACAGTAGTCATATCAACAGATTGGCTATTAACACCTTCTTATATAGTCATTTTGAAAGCATTTATAACTAAAATCAAATAAAAAAAATAACAGGAATTACTTGTCATCAGTTACACAAGGTGATGAAGCAAAGTGAAAATAAATTTTTGTGAATTCTTTTTTTCAAGCTTTAACAGATTAGCTAATATTTGATATAAAAAAAATACTGTCAGACTTTAAAGCTGACTAAGACTAGATTTGTTATTTTAATCATTTTATAAGCTCATAGTTGTTAGCACCCTACATTACTCATTGCTGCTGGCATCTAGATGTCCATTTCAAACTGGGCGTCCTCTGCTGTAAAAGAGAATAGAAAAAAGTTGCATTCAACTAAAGTACAAAGAAAGCACAAAGTAAGGTGATAAATCTAATATTGTACCGGAGTTCTCCTCCATATGCAGGTTGTGGTCGTCTTCATTGTTGCTGGGTGATTCCTCGGGCGGATTTTCATTGTTGGAGGAGTCCGGGTCGAGCGGCCTTGTCACACCGGGAATATCAGGAAGTTTGGGAGGAGTTCGGGTCAGTGGAGAGCTCCGACACTGTAGCAGAAACTTCCTGTCATAAATGATTCTGGTACCTGTAGATGGAAGACAAAAGCCTTGCTTTGACTATCTGTTGCCACGCTGTTTGAAACAGGATAAAACATCCAAGCTAACAGCAGCTGATCACGCGCCTTCTTACTGTTTCTTTTTTTAAACCACCAAAGATAAACCTTATAAATACAAGAATATCTAAACCCCGACAGAAAATCTGAAAGTTAAAAATGTAATTCAATAACAGTCATTAATGGTTTCTGATAAGTTAAAGGGGAACGCCGTTTTTTTTTTTTTTTTTTTACATTGGGCCCTTGATTTTACATTATTACATCATGTTCTACTCACCCATTTGAGTTTTGTGTCATTTGGAGCTGTTCTGAAGATCTTCTGTTAGGTTATATCAAGGTACATTAATAATTGGCAATCTTTTTGGGGAAAACCTAGTCTGATTGGGAGAGACTGCATCCATCCCACTTTGGGAGTTGCAGCTCTTCTTTCTAGGTATCTGGCCAAATGTAATAGTCATCCAAAACCCTGACAACCCAGGGTGCAGACCAGGAAGCAAAGTTATGGTTTAACACAACTTTCTGCAGCTGCTCTACTGTTACCCACTCATAACTGCATCCATACAGTGTCTTTCCCACGACAAAAATCATATAAATTAGAAAAGAATGCTAAAGGAGTACATGATAATCTAAAAAAACACAACTCAAATTGGGGAAAATGTTAAAACTGTTAAAGGTGGGTTATTTAACATAAGTCTGTTAGTTAATGACTTGATTTGTGGTAAATAAATTTATTTGTGTTGCTTTAAAGAAACTTGTCTACAGAAAGAGGATTATGTGAGCATAAATGAGGCAACAATCTTTCAGAGGAGCATAAGAATAATTCAAGATATCTTTTTAATACCGTTGCCAAATTCACCCAGAGCCATAGCTCTGTTGAACCATCCATCCCACCTGCTCTTAGCAGTAAAGAGTTTATTGGATTTTTTATAAATATGAATGATGGTAATAAAAATAATAATCATTAGCACCCAGCTAAATATTATTGGTTTGTCTCTGAAAGGTGAGGCAGCATCTGAAGTAGCCATAGAATCTGAACTGGGTTTAGACTGCTTTGATCCAGTTGAACTTTCAGAGTTAGTAAAACTATTGTCTTCATCTAAGCCTTCAACTTGTATGTTAGATCCAGATCCAAACAAGTTATTTAAGGAGGTATTCCCTCTGATGTCCTCTTCCATTTTAGATGTGATTAATAGATCCCGGATACAAGGACATGTACCTCAGGCTTTTAAGGAAGCTGTAAATAAACCTTTACTTAAGAAACCGTCTCTTGACCCAGGTGACTTGGTCAATTATAGACCTATATCCAATCTTCCTTTCTTATCTGATATTCTTGAGAAAGTAGTTGCCAAACAAGTGTGCAATCACTTACAGCATAATTAACTTTTTGAAGAGATTCAGTCTGGCTTTAGAGCTCATCATAGCACTGAAACAGCTCTGATGAAAGTCACAAATGATATTCTCATGGCCTCAGATGGTGGACTTGTGTCTGTACTTGTTCTTTTAGATCTTAGTGCTAAATTTTACGCAGTTGATCATCACATTCTTTTAGGAAGTAGGGCTGGGCGATAATTCAATAACGATATATATCGATCGATAGACGTGTGGCGCAATAGAAAAAAAGAGGGTCGATAAAAGTTCGATAAAAAAGAAACGCAGTTTTCCTTCCTTCTCATTGTAGCCTAGCATGTAGGTTTATGCTAGTCACTGCTTCCTCCCAACCAATCACAATCGCGGACCCAGGCATGCCGTCACCAAGCGCCGCCCTCTCAAACCACAACACAGAGCACATGAAGCTGTGCAGCAAGGAGAGGCGGAGGAAATTGTTTCAAAGAAGGGTTTTTGTAGTTCGGCAGTCTGGCAGTATTTCGGTCATGGCAAGTCGGACCAAAAACAAACCACAGTCATCTGTAAAATGTGTAGGGAACCAGTGAAAACGAAGTCTGATAACACAACCAACTTTTTTTTTTTTTTTTTTTATCATTTCAGCCGCTCACAGCCGCAGGAGTACGAGCTGTGTAGGCCCCGACGCGGCTCTCCTCCGAGGAATCTTCGGAAAATATATATATATCTTCAGTTCTGGGCAGTTTCCTACGTAGTTCTAACAATTGAGATAAAAATGCTGAGGGGCCAGAAACGTCAAAGTAATAACTCATTTTAAAGCAGGAAACGGGGGCGGCGGCGGCGGTGGGGGGGCATTTATTTATTTGTTATATTTATTTTGGTCACTTTTCTGGTCACTTTAGTTTATTCTTTGTCAGTATTTAATAACATAACTCAGGTCTAACATTCTGCCTCTGAATGCAAACAAAACAGAAGTTATAGTCTTTGGACCAGAGTCCTTGAAAAAGAATTTGATTAGTCAGTCACTTCATTTGGATGGGATTAATTGGATCTCAGATATTAAATTAGACAATCTTGATTGTCTTTGATCAGGATCTCTCATTTAAATCCCATCTCAAAGAGGTTTCTAGAATGTCCTTCTTTCATCTGCAGAATATTGCAAAAAAATTTGAAATATCCTGTCCTGGGGCTGAGAAAATTCTCCATGCATCTGTTACTTGAAGGTTGGACTATTGTAATTCTTTGCTATCAGGAAGTCCACAAGCTGTAGTTAAAAGCCTTCAGCTGATCCAAAATGCTGCAGCCAGAGTTCTTATGAAAATTAAAAAGAAAGACAATATCTCTCCTATCCTGGCTTATCTTCTTTAAAATCCTCCTTCTCACATATAAAGCCTTAAATGGCCAAGCTCCATCTTGTATCAGAGATCTGATTGTTCCTTATGTTCCTAACAGAGCACTTCGCTTTCAATCTGCAGGTTTACTAGTAGTTTCTAGAATTTGTATACGTAGAATGGGAGGCAGATATTTTGGTTATTGGGCTCCTCTCTTGTAAAACCAACTACCAGTTTAGCACGTAAGGCAGAGATCCTGTCTACTTTTAAGGCAAGGCTTAAAACCTTCCTATTTATTAAATCTTAGAGTTGCTCAGGTTATCCTGAGCTGTTTCTATAGTTATGCTGCTATACGCTTAGACTGCTGTAGGACAGTCTCATTATTCTGCTTCATTCTATTTTTATCCTCCAATTCTGTAGAATTTGTTAGCTCAATCTCTAACATTATGTTCTCTCTTTTTTCTAAAAGTAGCTTCTTCTGGTCTATTCCTGTTTTGCTGTGACACCCATCCTGGAGAGTAATATCAGCTGTGCTGCTTCCATCAACACGTTTGTTTATAGAGGTTGGAGTTTGGCCTGTTTTTCAGTCTAGTCCTGTTTCTCTGTCTCTGACTAACAGTATATGCCCTCTTTCATCCTCTGACATGGGAGCTGGCTTGGAGCTCATCTTCCAGGCTGTGTGTTCCTGGATGGGGCTACATGTGGAGCTTGTTGATAATTACCTTTTGTATCTCTGCTTCTATCTCCTTGAACCCCAGTCGGCCTTGGAAGATGGCCCCAAACACTAAGCCCAGTTCTGCTAGAGGTTTCTTCCCTTTTAAAACGGAGATCCCCCTTCTCACTGTCACTACATGCCTGCTTAGGGTGAGGGATTGCTTTCGAGTCAATGGCTGGATGCAATCAGTTGGTTTTCCTTAGATAGAAAACTGAACAAATCTGATTGTATGATCAGACAGACTTCATTGATCTCACGGCTTAGAAATTAACATGTCACATCGGTTCCATAGTCAAAAGAAGGTGCCAAGAGAAGGAACAAGTGCATGTGGTATATACAGTATATAAAGTGCATCCACATATATATATACATAACAGCTGAAGTCTCTTTATTTCACAGGATTATTGCTCAGGTTATTGCAAAGGGTATTAAATATATATATATATATATATAAATAAAATTGCACAGGGTATTAAAAATGGATTGCACATTAGTTATTGCAGTTATTAGTGCCACATTGTAAAGTCTGATGGGAGCAGGGAGGAACAACCTGTGGTTAAGTTACTTCAGATGACGTGTGTTGTGAATTGGCACTATAGAAATAAACTTAACTGAAGTTACCCCCAAAATAATAACGTTTGTCATAAAAACGCAATAAAAAGGGAATGGATTTGGTTTGCCAGTACAACCGAATTAGCACAGCTTGAAGCATTTGTTTTAAAAGATTAAAAGCAACATTTTCTGTAGCAATTTCAACCCTTGGTTCAAAACATAACAGACTGGCGACCTATCCAGGGTGTACGCCGCCTCTCGCCCATAGACTGCCAGAGATAGCCAGCGATCCTGACAGAATAAGCTGGAGGAGATGGTTGGTTGAATACATATTTGGCTTTCCATAAAATGGTTCAGTATCTTCATAAGATGCTCTATACAGCAGTATAATGAAGAGGTTAATTACAGTTTATTCAAAGGTATTTGAATGTTTTCATGCATTAGACATCATAGAAATATCTTAATGTTATATATAAAACAATGTTAAGAAACGAAACAAGCAGTTTTTATGTTGTACTTTGTGTATTTCTATGCAATTTCCATGACCAATAACCTAGATTTCTTCTTTAGTGACACATTCTGGTGACGTTGTTTTATCTGGAGAACCTGTCCCAGCTAGTAATGTTGCAGAACATGTTATCAGTTGATGCGAACATGTGCACCCCAGCCACATTATTCACAGCAAACATGGAGGAATGGGAACAGCTCTATCCCTTACTGGAAATTAACCCAGTAGGATCCAGCCTTTCTATATGCGACAGTAGGTCGTTGACCAGTGACCGCTCCACTTTCTGCAATAGCACGAATTTTAAGAAAGAAAAAAAACACATTTACTGAAAACTTTTTGCTTTTTAAAAATAAAGCCATCTTTGCCAACTTCACTGTAAATTGTACATTCAGTAACACCCAGTGCAATAACTATATATATAAATAAAAATATCAATCTATATAAATACACATGTAAACACCCTGTGCAATAACCCTGCATAATGATCCTAGTATAAAAAAAAAAAAAAGCTGTCATATATGGACGCACTGTATATACTGTATATAGCATATGCACCTTTTTCTTCCTTTGGTACCATCTTCTTTTTTGACTATTTGAGCTGATGTAACAAGTACATTTCTCCACTGTGAGATTAATAGTCAATCAATCAATCAATCAATCCAGTAAGGCCTCACTAGTGTACAACTTATAATAGGAAACCATGTAAACAAATAGTAATCTGAAGGCCTTTCAAAATTGCAGAAATATTTCTGGATAATTTAACAATTCCTAAACAACAAATTAAGAAGAATTAAAGAACCATCAATAACAAGATTTTATTATGAAATAATTTCTCTTTTTCCCACAATTTCATCTATAGCAGCAAATAGAATCATTATAACATATAGCAATAATGACAGCTGAGGATGCATCACTTTTATTGTGAAACTCTATATAAAACACTGCCTATTGCCTTATTATTACTGTATAACTGATTTTAATACGCTTATATGCTGTTTAAACAAACAATAATAGTCCTATCTTTTTATTTAGCTGAATGTAGAATAAACAAAAGAGCCAACTTCCATAAGGTTTAGTGTTACACTCTGAGCCCTGCTGTTGTAAACATGTCTGTGCAGCTGTAGAGCAGCACTATAAATAGTTCATGACTGACGGGCTGCTTTCCTTCTTTGGTTATTGTTGCTGAATCTAGTATTTACACCCTGATGATACAGAAAACAAGCCTTCCATCTCCTGTCAGGGTTCAGCGCATGTTTACCTCCTGGTGTGGTGCTAAAGAGAGTTCCCCCCGGAGTGGTGGAGTACTCCTTGGGCATGTGGGCTGCATCATGGATGGCGATCCTACGGACAGCCGGGATCTCCAGGCTCCTGGAGGTCTGTCCTGCCGAGGACATCTCGGTCCCAGAGCAGCGTCCCACAGCAGACGGTAAAAAGGGTTTAATAAGCCGCAGGTTTCAATGTGCAGGCCTGCTGAGAGGTCGATGTTCCTCCACGTGGTCGAAAGGAAGGGGGAAAAAAATTCTAAACAAGCTGCACCAGTACCGAAACTCGTCACGTGATTAAAGCGCCCTGATTGGCTGAAAACAGGGGGCGTCAGAGAAATATGATTTTGGGATATGTAGTTTTCATTTTGCTGACTTTCTAACTTTTTCAATCATTACTTAATCATTACCATTGAAGATGACAATTAATTTGCTGAATTTATGACACAGGACTTAGAATATCTTTTTTATTTTATTTTTTTTTTTATTATTTTTGTATATTTTTTTCTTTTATAATATTTTATAATATCTCGAATTAATTAACTACATTAAAGTGTATTGAACACCTAATTTGACCTGTCAAGGTCAGCACAATATGTTAATTTATTCTAATGCTAATAAATACATATGTTTTAAACACTATAAAGCTCCAAGTTCTTTTGGTTACATTGCATTACAGTCAGAGACAAAAATCTTATTTTGGAAAATAGCATTAATTGTTCACACTGGGTTCACACAGGACATCAAAATCCATGATTCTCAGGCTGGGTTGCGTTCGCCAACCAGTCTTGTAAAAACGGATATTTAGAGCAATGGTACGTGTCAAAATATATCCTGGTTTGTGTTAAATGTTGAGAAAATGATTTCATACACAAAATGATTTATCATAGGGTGAAAGACCTGCCTGCCCAAGCAGTGTCTCTTATTTGTTTTTCAAGGAAATAGCAACTCTGATTACTATTAACAATACAAATACATTTAGTGCTAGCACCATCATCTGCCACAAACTCAGTTCGTTCCAAAATTCCAAAAGCAATAAGATTGTGTTTGTGGATTTATATACGTAGGGATCAGGGTAACTGGTGGCAACCACCGTTAATGTCAGTTTATGTCTATTCAGTTTGTGTAATCAAACATTTGCTCTATTTTTACTACATGTGGTATGAGATATTAGGACATCAGATTTGATTTTGAGGTAGAAATTTTGGTTAGAAATGTCCTACTTTCCAACTTAATAGTCTATCTTCAGTTACAAATAAAGGAAAAATGTTTTGCCCATCTGTTGTTCAATATCATTTCTTGAGATTCAGTTTGAGCTTCTCATATTTGTATTATTTTGTGATTATTTGTTTCTGAGTTACTTCTCCTAAGGATCCCTTAGGAGCAAGAGATAAGCTAAAAAGAGCCAAGACATCACAGAGTTTGAGTTGAGAAAAAAATTTGAGCATAATTTCAGAAAGCATTTTCATTAGCATCTCAATATATTCCCAGTTATTAAAACAGATGTCTTCTGAACTTTTGTCAGTTAAAAATATGAAAACACATGGCTTATTAAGCTTTAAGCAAAGAAAACAATCACACATTATGTTGCGTCTTTTCTGTTTATTAAGTCTTGTAAATGGTAAGAGCTGGTGTACAAGATAACATGTTCTATACATATCTTCCTGTTTGATTGAAAGGCTTGTATACATATTCACGTTTGTTTATCCTCTCCAGGACAATACAAAAGAAAAGAAAACAAATGGTCATAGCTACAAAGCCTCTACATTCCCCATGATGTGGGTGTCGGCCTAAACTAGATAATGCTTAAAGAACATCCATAACAACTCTATGAGGGTGCATAGCATTCTAATTAAATATATTTTATCATATATTTATACATACATTTTCTTAAAAACCATCTTTTTTGTGCATGTGCGCAGTTGCATTCCTTAGGATAGAATAATATGATATTGCGTTTACACTGTCATGTATCCAGTCTAAAGGAGTATAGGTGATCTCTAGTCTTTGCAACAGGTAATATTGTACAATAATCATTTTAAAATACATTGTTGTAGGTTAAACACCCTCTTTACTCACATGCTTGGCAAAAATGTTTTCTTTCTTCTTCTGATCTGACAAGGTTTGGAACCAAGTGTTATCATGCATACACACTTTCACACCAAACACACAAACATGATGGAAGGGAAGTTTTATCACATTAGAAGGGACTTCTTCTGAATGATAAATGAGATTTAAAGAACAGGAAATATTTATTTCCTGCAAGTGCATGATGTAAGAGATGGTAGTGATAGAACACACTCTGTAAAGAAAACCCAACATCGATTTTAACGTCAAATTGGTTATCTATCCTTCATTATTGAGCACTGACTGGACATTGTGGTTGTATACTCTACACCCATGCAATAACCAAATCTAGTTACCAAAACAAAAATAATGTATCATCAAATGTGTACCTCTTCAATACTTTAATTTTAGTTAAGCTAATAACAAAGGACCTGATGCTACAAAAAATTGTTTAATATTTACAGTGATTTTATCCTCTAACCTGGGAGAGCTTTCCAAGGGCTATGATGCCTTTTTTTAGACTTTCTATTTATGCTACTTGACAGTTCCAGACTGTACTCAGACTAGTTTTTAAAATATTGTCCTTTCTTCTTCCACACTATTCTCCAAAACAGTGGTTCCCAAACCTCATAATTCGAATAAACTTTAACCCCACACCAGTGCATAGAATAGCATTCAGACAATTTTGGGTGTATTAGCAGTTGACAAAACTAATTGAAGGTACTCAGTTGTCAATAATTATCTGCTGAACAAGATATAAGGCTACAGTTGAATTTCGTAGAGGGGAAAGTTTTATTTACTACTGGGTGGAGTATGCAATACTGGCTACTAAACTATAGAGAAAATGAGGGCCCCGCTAGACCTTACAATAAAGCTGATTATTATTTAAACAAGGCTCCTTCATTTTCCAAACTAAACTGATGTCTAGAGATTTTAACGCTGACCCAACCCACAGCGGGGTCATGACCCCAACTTTGGGAACCACTGCCCTAAATAACTTTACAGCTGTTATCCTTTTTCAACATCAAACTGGCAGTTTAAACTCTCCACTTAGTTCAACTCTCAATCTGTGAAACACATCTACAAACTTAGCTTTTGTGCCTCATATCATGCACCGATCCAAATGGTTTAGTTTCAAAGATAGCAAGACCAGTAGAAGCACTTAATGGTGAGGTGATAACTAGTGGTGATGCTACTTTAACTCAAGAATGTTTAGGTTTGGAATATAGACCAATGCAATTGTGACTGATATTACTGATTATGTCATTATTTGTGGCTAAATTACTGTGATCTAATTTGATGAGATTCAGCAAAGTATCCAAAAAGTTACAGTACAATACAGATTGTTTTTGCAAAAATCAATCCAATCTGTTATTACATTGGTATAACCTACTACTAAAATGTTTAGAACATTTCTATATTTGATTTAAGTATAAATTCAAGTGGGAGAAAATCTGTTGGTAATTAGATTCCAAATTAGTGTTCCCAAAACTCTTCCCTAAAGCTTCTTGCAAAGTTCATGTTAAGTTAGTTTTCATTCCATATGGATTTTATACGTGATCTTAATTCCTATACACATGGATTATTCTTAGTTTTAAATTTAGTTTCAATTTTGCTTTGTCAGTTAATGTTTTTTTTTGTTTTTGTTTACATTTTTCCAAAGCTGACTGAGCTTGCTTTCATGTGACTTTATTAAGAAATAATCACTTTAAACAAAATCAAAGGTGTCACAATCTTCTATCCCATGAGTCAGATATTTGGTAAATTGAGTTGATATTCTCTTTAGAGAAACATCTTTCAGTAGTACATTGCTTATACGGAATTGCACTTGCTAAATTAATTTAGCAAGAGCAATTAAATCCTTTATCCATGTATGGTTTGTTCTCTTCAGCTCACCTCACTTTGAATTTTAAGTTGGGGAGATGAGATGGACATCGGCTAAAATGCTTGATTTCCATTTGGTCTGTTGATTCAGTCATATATTTTTGATTCTGCTGAAAGCTTCAATTTAATCCATTTTCAATGTATCTAGTGTAAATTTTCAATTTCAATATTTAGAAGAGATTATGATACAGTGCAATATAATACAAATCCCAGGATCCCAGGAAAGAGAAACAGGCCCACAGTATCACAGATCTTCCACCATACTTAGCAATGGTTTATCCTTGGTGAGCAACACACCAAATGTCCATCACTCATCTGATAAAACATGAGATTGCGGTTGGGGCAACTTTAACTAAGAGGTGATAGTCATCTAAGATTAACTCTGGACTGGCTGCCAACTGAATCTTGTATTTTCAATAATGCATGCATGGGAATGTGGCTCTCATATAAAATCTTTTGAGTGGTTGCCATGATAAGAACAGCACTATATAAGTTGAATGGATTTACATTTCTGACTTAAAGGTCCATTAGAGTTTAGCAAACTCAACATGTTTGTAACAAAGGGCATGAAAGGTAGTTTTTTTCTTCTTTTCTGTCATGTCTTGAGTACAATCATTTGACATGTGACCCCAGTACGTCACTGTTGAATCAGTTCTTATTTCACAGTAATTGTAGAGGTGTTATCATTAATTGTGGCACAGGTGGTTATAAAGAATATCTGACAATGAGATTATTTTCCCTTTCAATAATCAATGGATCCAAATAAAGAGTTTTTTTAGTCTTATTCTACTGCAATATATCAAATTATTTTAAAACACACATTTATCAGATTGCCAATCATTTTAGAAAGGGCTGCATTTTAAGTCAACATTACAAAGCCATCTTATAAACCAAACGTTAAATAAAATATATAATCAGTTATGCCTGTGCTGCAGTCGAACCCTGCTTGGTTAGTTTTTCTTCATAAGGGTTGAAAATAAAGAACAACAAACTGTTCCGTGTTCCACGGCGGCATTGAGAGGTCCCATTTAGACAAAATTAAAACAAGTTTTTGGTCTAATTCAATAGAATCTGACAAAGACACTTGCACACAATTTTTTCATTTCATGCAGTCACCAAAACATACATCAAATTCGCTCTTCAAAAGGAACCAAATCTGAGTCCAATTCTCATGCTTCAGAGAACCATCTGAATTCCAACATCAGCAGAACAAAAAAACCTGAGTGTAAAATAAGTTGCTATAAAATGTGCTATTATCGGATGAAGTTTACCTGCATGGAAAGGATATGAAAAATGTGTGCAATCATTCTGTGCTGCACTCATTCAAGCTACAGTAGTTTTTACAGTACTTGTGGGATAAGATGGTGTTGAGACTCTTCAGAAATGTCTGCTACTACGGTACAAAGACTACATGGGGCTGCTGTCTGGTTGCTGCATAACATGTTAAAAAAAAGAAAACTTGCTTGTTTTTATATGCTGTATATGAAACATCAATAGCCTTAATAACTCAGAGAAAGCAAAATTAATCTTAAGTAGCACAACAAACATTAGCTTTTGTAAAGAAAAACAGGTTTTGCGACATTTAGCTATTTAAATAAAGAATTAAAAAAAGCATCTCTCTGATCGTAATCACACAAATTGTTGGAAAATGGGAAAGCAAAGCTTCCATTTTTTTCTTTTCATTAGGTATTATTGCTGCGGTAAATCTGGCTGATCTTTCGACCATATATGTCTATTGTGTTTTTTGTGTGCTTTTTCTAGAATGTACCATGCCCTGCAAAGGTATTTATAGTAAACATCTTCACATATTATAATGAAACAAATTTAAACTTCAGTACATTTTAGTGGGATATTTTCTGAAGGCAAAGATAAGGTGGCTGACAGGAGCAAACAGATGAATGATCCAAACTCCATAACATCAAATAGTAAAGGAATACAGTCACAAAAAACGCATCAAAATCTTATGACAAGCGAAACTAATTCAGAGGAAAAAATTTGTCAAATACCAAAAACAGTACGTTTTAAGAAGCTGCAAACTTGACCCAAAAGGAGTATGCATTATCCACTTACTTAAATATACTTCTGTTCTATAATATGGAACCAGATTATGACCACATGCTTAAAAAAGAAAAAGGAAAACAGATTTCCTTCTATCCTCTATCTTTCTTGTAGGTATCCCATTAATGTCCATAGATAAATGGAGGTGGCCACTTCTCTTGGTGATCAGGCGCACTTTTGTTTTGTGGTGCCAGTTTGCAGCCTGTTATAACATCTGTTTGTTTTTAGTATTTGAAAAATATTTTTTTAATGTTTCTGCCTATTTTTTGTGATTTAAACCTTTTGTTTTTTGCATTTTTCTGTGTTTGTGTGTATTGGAGTTTGCATAGTTCACTTTTTTGCCATTTTTGGTGTGTTTACTTAGTTGCTGAGTGCTTACTGAAGTCGGACACGGTACTAAGAAAGCTCGGTAGAATTGTAGAGAAGAAGAAAAACTTTTTACAACATTTCAATCTTTTTAAAATGAATAGTCAAAGAGCGTCAGGTAAGGGTTAAAGCTGTCAAGATGTATAACAGATCTGGGCATCTTAAAAGTACTGCTTAATACTCAAGAATATGGCACAACTACAAACGTTTATATTCATGCCTGTTTATGTAAAGTGACATCAATAACATTGAGCAGAAATTCAGTCTGGATTCCCATGGTACCTCTGGAGGAGCTGCAGAGAAGGGACAACCTTTTGACAGGACAAGAATTTTTTGTGCGCCCAACAAATCAGGCCTTTATGGAAGACTGACAGGAAGACAGCAACAATTAAAACAAATTCATAAGCAATTTAAAGTTCTCCAAAAGCAATGCAGTGGAGACAGCCTGCAAGAATGGAGATTGGTTTTGAAAGCTATGGAAGCTCTACTTCATGGTCCGAATGCAAAACAAACACTGCATCTACCTGAAGATGCTTTTCTTTAGCAGCTACATGGAAGCTGGCCTGAATGATGGAAAGACTCCTCAGGCTTGAAATAGGGCAATTCTGAAAGAAAATCTGAAAAAGCTTTAGGCACAGGTGATAGCTCAATTTCCAGCTGGAAAACTTTCCTCTTCAAATATTTGGAGAAACATTTCTATGGATATGTATCTGCTAAAAATGCCCAGTCAATGTCTAGACTTAAATCTACATCAGAATATAAGGTATGACCTTAAAATGTATGATCTCTATCCAATCTAACCAAGTCTGAGCTGCAGTGCAAAGACCAATGGGCAAAAGCTGGTAGAGACATACCAAAAAAGATTTACCGTACACCTTTATTTGCATTAAAATGTAGCTCTCATATGGTGTTGCTGAGTTGTAAATATATGCTATACTCTTTAGGTTTTTAAATGAAAAAGCTTTTCTTCCTCTCCGCAATTTTGCAATACTTAAAATTCCAATAAAATAGATTGAAATTAGGGGAGATATAAATACCTTTGCAAGAAACATGTACAGAGAGTTCACGAGTTTGGGGTCAGTAATAACTGGACAGTCACAGTGCAAAAATACACTTAAAAGCCAAAATCTCAGTGATTCCTGCATTCAATGCTTTTGCTTAGGATTAATAAAAATGTGACAGTGATGTGTCACAGTGGATATAAAACAACAAAAACAAAGATAACATGGAGCAGATAGAAGAGACCTGTGACTTTGAATGCATATAGAGTGGGGTCACTGATAGAGATGCTAAAAAAGAGATATGCTACAAAGAAAATTGGAAGAATAACCAAAATGCTTATATGGAAGGAAAACGTTGAGATATTTATCATAGAGACGCTGTGCAATGCTGTCAAGCAATCATTTCTTTTCAAAGGAAAACATTCTGACGTCTTTAAAACACTTGAAAACACGAGGGAATTAAAGAGATTCAAATCTCTAACAGATTCAATCAAAGGGGGAAACCAAAGCGTACAGATACCAAAGAGAAAGCAAACTTCTCTGAGAATAAATCTAAATAAAAACACTGACACGCAGATGGGAGCTCACAAGCAGAGAAGAGCCAGCGGCCTTCTCCTAGCAGAGGTCTAGCACGCTGTGACATCACAGAGACAACAAGCCTATCTGGGAAGCCCAGGAAACACAAGCAGCAGAGCAATTTAAACACACACGCGCACACGTGTTCACATGGCATAGAGTGCATATATCACATTAAGAATAAGAGGAAAAAGGGTCCAGTGGCAGAAGCGTTAATAGGCTCAGCAGAGGCTTAGCTGCATACACAGCCAACCTTCAAGGGACTTGTGTTTTTTTTGTTTTTGTTTTTTTGGCTGCACTGGTAATGGACTCAACTCGCTACCACACTGCTTCATTTAGGGGACAGGAGGCCCTTTTAAAAGGGACTGCCTGTAACCACCCCTGCACAGGCCGGCACCTGTAGCTTCAGTTTGTACTCCTTCAGTTTGTAGATAATGACAGTTCAAAAGGTCAAAGGGCATGCACCAGCAGTTATCATGCGATTACAGTTCACAGGAAGCACTTTGTTGCTTTTTTTTTTAGCTGTCTTACGAACATTTATATATTTTTTTGTATAAAAATGAATCATCATGCCTTTTGTTTAGTTATAGTTTTCTTTACAAATGTTATAAAACTACAAGTTCAACTCCTCTTTTTTGTTTTTGTCTTCTTTTGTTTTGTGGTGCTTTGTGATCACAGGTTGAGGATATTTCTGTTGTCCTTGCATCTTTGTCCTTGCATGTTTTTTTTGTTTTTTTTTCATCTTTTTCTCCTCTTCATTTTTCATTTCCATCTTCTTTCTGGTCGTGTTTTTGTGGTAGGTGTTTTGGCAGTGGGTTTCCGGTCCTGAAATACATCAGAAACAGTGAAAAGGAGTAAATATACATTCAATATAATTTTGGCCTGTAAGAAGGTGATAAAATGATATGACAAAAGGTAAAAACAAGTGTCCAGAAAAGGTTGGAAAGCTGTGTAAAATGCATCTAAAATGAGAATATCATACATTCAAACAGGATAAAAAATAACTATTCAGATGCATTTCAAAACTGAATAATCTGAAAATGTTCATGGATTAATATGTGTGCACTCTTTATGGGTTCTAATTTGTGGCCTTCAGAAAAGGATGTTGGCTACCAGCACTACCAGTATGTTTACAGAGGCTGGTGAAATTCTCTTTCACCACGCTCCTGCAGTTTCTTTTTAATTTTCTAGACATGTCACCAAACTTCCAGCTGTTTAAACATATTCATGAACATTGGAAACAAAGCATTTATGTCATATTTAACTAAATCATGAAAAAAAGTGCTGAATTTGGATTCTCTTGTATTTTTTATTTTTTTATATCTAAATTTATTTAGATGAGGTCTGTTATAAATCATATTTCACTTTCAATTTTGAAATCATTCACAATTCACTGAGGTGCAGCTTTGCATCTAGTAGAACCTTTTTTGTCTGGACTTGCAGTAAAAAAGACGCTTTAATTCCCAAACAGCATAATTTTATCTGAGGCTTTTTTCAGTAGCTTAACAAAATGAAAAGATCAATGAAACAAACACTAACAGCATAATGTGGCAAAAGCAACCTGACTTCCGCTCAGTTTTTTTCTGACTATCCGGGAGTCTTCAGTGGAGTCAGTTTTGTCGGCTCATGACAGTGCGAGGGAGACTACTGTTCCAATATCTTTAATAAAAAAAGTAAGAGAAATTCTAGGTTCTTCATTGGATTTTGTAGCTCTTTGACTGGGTAGTTCTATTGGAAAACACAGTCAGTGCAAACTCAATAACCCAATTTTCACAAGATTGATTAATTCAGTTCCTCTTGAAACAACATGACCTCAATGATTTTTCTTACACCACTGATGGTTTATCTGATCTATCAAAAAAAAAAAAAAAATCACTTAGGGTACAAATAAAAAAAGCAAATTTCCAGGAGCAAAGCTGGTCACTGGTATTCTTTAACTAAAGTCAGCATAAAGCTTACTGCTCGTACTAATAAAATGAAAAAAACAATCCCCTGGACTTTTTGTCCAAATTTGAAGACATTTTGCTTCCTGTCTAGGAAGCTTTTTCAAAAAAAAAAAAAAAAAGAAAAAAAAATATTAAACAATTTTTTTTTTTTTTTTTTTACTTTTTTGGAATGACAATGACCTGGATGACTGATAATCTTTACCAGCATTTCATACACATATATTTGTCCCTAATGGATTTAACACAGCCCTAAAGGAATACAGACAAAGGTTTATGTCATAACTATAGTTTAAATAAACGATGTGTGCCACATTAGCTAGAACAGATTAAAACGACTCTAAAATATTGCGGTCACACACATTTTCTAAAGCTGCATCCAACATAGTTCAGAGGTGTATTGATGGACGCTCTATGGGTTAGGCATACACATTTTTTATTTTTTTCCACAGCGTTTTTTATTGTCATTACACTGTCACAAGTACAGTATAGTATATATATCTGACAGCTGAAGTATCTTATTGAGCAGGATTATTATACAGTATAAGGTTACTGCATTGGGTATTTACATGGGTATTTGTATAGAGGGGTATATATATATATATATATATATATTAGTGCTGTCAATCGATTAAATTTTTTTAATCGCGATTAATCGCATCAATGCCTGAGTTAACTCGCGATTAATCGCATTTTAATCGCACATTTTTTTTCCTGATTGAAAATCATTTAAATACTCTCGATGACATACAAAAAAATACATACAGGCTAGGTTTGTGCCAATGTTCTTTTTTTAAAATGAAAACAGGTCACAGATACTGATTTATGCCAAAAATAACAAATATGTAGCCAAAAAAAAGGCCCTGAAAACAGGCTGATGTAAAAGACAGTCTTTACAGTTAATACAGTCTTTTGAACAAAGACAAGCATTTTACCCTACTGCTATAAAATTTAGTAGAGTTAACATTAGATGTTAATTAACCAAGGTAATAATGAACAATTTTCAATCAATACATCAAAATCAATAGACCGACATCACTAGATGGAGGTAGTCTATGCCCTAGAAAGTTACTTTCAGCCTCTTAACAAAAATGAGAACACACACACAAGCACCCACCCACCCACACACACACACACACACACACACACGATACCGACCTGTGGCGTACACATACGGCAAGAGTGTCGTAGCAGATTCCATTTCACCTCAGTAATCTGTTTTCTCAGCGTATTTCAGGTTGCTACTA